TAATTGAAGTTTCCGGGTCACCTTCATAGGTAGCCCCACTTGCAGTAGTCCAAGCTGTCCCATATGGAGGTTGAACCTGCAACCTTGGGGTTATCAGCTATCCAAATGCATCTCCCTAGCAAGCAGAGGGGCCTCGTGGGCTCCCAGGGTATGTTGCTGCTTTTGGAAACTGATGCAGCTTTGAAACTAGACTGTTTCTCTGGGTGCACATACATGCATCTCTAGGCTCATGCTATGATTTTGCAAATAGAAAAGTATTACAAAAATACAGTTATCTCTGCTGACAAGGAAGCAAATCCCATAGAAGGCTACTGTCTGAACTTCCTACCAGCTGAGGAAGAGGAGAGCATGGGATTTTCTCTTTGTTTTCCTTTTATCACTGTTCCTATGTTTCCCCTTCTGTTACAAATGATTTCCCCCCCTTTCCTTACCCATTTCCATGTTTTTGTATCTTTGCTTTTTCATGCAGCCACTCTGCATTAAACATTTTAGCAGGAAAGCTGCTGCTTCTTTTTTTGAAAAGTCTACCCATTGCGTTTCTTTCTAACAATTCTGAACGAGGATTACGAAAATCATTGTGAAGCAGGAAATGGCAGGGGTGGGGTGAAGGGAAATTGGAAGCGACTTTCAGCTTAGCTTATGAATGTGTAATGAAAGAACGTGAGGCTTTGCTTCAGTCACGGTGTGCCAAGGAGGGATACTGAACAAAAGGGTCATTATTATGGCTGAGCATTCTAAGAGCTTACAAGAAAAACAGTCAGAAATGGAATAAGTTAAAAGGGGTCACAGCCAGATCAAAAACGTTGGCCTAGATTTAGTGCTTTATGCTTTGCTTCAGGAATGCAATTTACTCCCACCTGGATCCAAGCAGCTTCATAGCAGTTGTGTCTATGGTGGCATTCCCCGTACACGTAGATATGTCTAGCTTGCTTGCTTGGGCTGCAATGCCCTAATCCATGTTGTTTAAGCATTTTTTTTAATCCTTCACTCATGTTTCAAATATGTCAAACATGCAAATGGCAGAGCTCCTCTTGGTAACATGATTCATGTCAATTCAGCACTTGTATAAACCATGTGAGTTACTCCAAAGTATGGGGCATACGGGGTGTATGGGGAGAGGCACTATCTCTGCTGGGGGAAGCATCATGCTCCTTCTGGGGTAGTTCAGCCACCACTGGTCCCTACCATGCACTCAGCTCTCATTTGTTGCTCCTAGAAGCTGCCAGTATGTAACAGTAGCCACACCCAGGGCAACAGCTTTGACTGGTCGGCTAAACCAGGTGAGGGTAGCCGATAGGTCATAAACCCTTGGTGAGTCTTGTCTATCTCCTGCATGTGAAGACAAGTTCTGGCAGATTGAGCGAACAAGACCAATAGTGGGTCCCATGATCAAGAAGGCAGTTTCTGCATGTGTTGTTGAAGGAAATGAAGGGCAGATGGGGCTCAGGAACCTGAGAAGGTAGCCCATCTAGGAGTTGGGTCATTTCCACAGAATGGAAGATGGCAGGATCCCCAAGGATGTGCTCTATGGAGAGCTGGATTCAGGCACCAGGCCCATTGGCAGACCAACTCTAAGATGTCTGCAAACGAGACATGATGGCTGGCAACATCAACCCCGCTGTGTGGGAATCCCATGCAGATGACCATAGTGCCTGGAGACAGACAGAGAGGTTGTGTATCCACAGCAGTGACCGGAAGAGGAATAACCTCTGGAATGAGCTCAAAGAGAAGAAACGGCATGGTGCACCTGCATCAGCACAACTGGACGCCTTCATCTGCCCTAGCTGCAGTACAACATGTCTCTTCCATATTGGTCTCTACAGCCACAACAGGTGCTGTAACTCTCCAATGGTTTGACTTCACTCCTTCATTGTCTCCCGAGATAGACAGATGCCAACAACTTCAAAAATTGCTGCTGCTGCTGCTAGATTAGATACACCATTTGCCTCCTCTAGCAAGGCAATAATTTAATTCTTAAATGCATATAGTGGTCTCTCTAAGCCAGTACTGGAACCGCAATGCAGGAATCACAGCTAAATTGTTGAAGACCCCCTTCAGTTCTTTCGCACTAAGAAACCAGAAGTTCAGTGTGTAGCAATCGCACTAGAATCCTATAATCACAGGAAAAGAAAGAAAGCTTTCCAGTCCACAACCCTAAGGCATGCCAGAAACGTCTGCCAAATGTAGGAATACTTAGAACAATCTTGATGGCTTCAGCAAATTGGGCAAATCATAATCTACAGTGGAAGAGACACACGCCCTTGGTCACTAGCCAATCTGATAAGTGAAAACCCCTTCTCTGTCTCAAATATGCAATTTAGCTGGAGAACTAAATGTGAAGAAATGCCTACCCTACAAGCCTGCAGCCATGGCCATTTCAGATGACCCCCAGAATAAATGGATTTCAAGATGCAGAGTTGGGAATAACCACTGCCTGGATCTCGGGGAGTCCTTGCTGTGAATAGTGAACAGTACTGGGGCAGATGGACTGATGCTGAGACTCAGAATAAGGCAGTTTCATACGTCCGTGAGTGCAGAGGAGGGATAGAGGAGAAATTTGGTACAGTGTACATTTTAATGTGGACTTTTCTAATTCACAGTTGCCAATAGAATATACGGACCAAAATGCAATCCTTCAGATTCACACTTCCACGAATTTTGTAATGCAGTTTCTCCAATCACTGTATACAAAAAACAAAAACAAAACAACAACACGCTGACAAACATAAAATTTGCAAACCAATGTAGAAATGTTACAAATTGAATTTAAAATTTGCAAACCAACGTAAAAATGTTACAAATTGAACTTAAAATAAAAAAGAGAAACTGAGAGAAAGCCAGATTGACTGGTTTTGTCAACCCCTAGTTCTTAGTAAATGAAGAACCTTCACAATGCAGGAAGAAAGTAGGGTTCCCAGGTCCTATCCTGGAGACTTTGCTTATCACTTTAAGAGTTCAGAGCCAACGAGGGAGTATGTGTTGGGGGTAGTGAACTCCTGCCCTTCTGCTCAAACGGTCCTCTTGACTACCTTTATTTGCCACATTCAGTGGGATGTAAGCTGGAGAGAATGGTGAGTGAATGAACCATATGGAATAGCAGGGCAGGAAGTGGGCGACTGCATCCTTGCTCACTCTCTCAACCATTTAAATCAATGGACAGTCTTCCCGCTTAGCCACGTTCCCACACTGAATGCGCTAAGTGCTTTTGTGGATATTCATTGTATGAAGGAGTGAATATAATGTACCACATGGTACGTCAATGTTAACATGCAATGTACTAGACACTAGCCCATAAAATGTTTTAATAAAAATGAGTTTTTGAAAGCCCTCCAAAGATATCATATTAAATTAGATACCGCATATGAGCTGAAGAAGGGGGGAAAATCTCACCATCAATTACTATGAAATGATGGAACATAAATAGAACAGACAAGCCATAATGTCTGTTGTGTGTTTCATCTGACAATCTAGATCCGTCTTCACCAACCTGCTGCCCCACTCCAGATGTTTTGAAGAACAACTGTCATCATCCCCAACCAGCAGAGCTGATGGGAACTGTAAACCAAAACATCTGGAGGGCATCAGGTTGGCAAAGGAAGCAGACAAATATGTTTGGACCATTGTACATAGAGGATGATGATGGACTGAATTACTGAAAGTAGCTGGCATGAGACAAAAACAGAGTTTCCAAAAAAGCAGAGCAGCCAAGCTTTTGGTCTCACTCTGCTCCCCTGGAATCCTATTAGTTTTACAACTTTTGATTCCATGTATACTAATGGGATGAACCCAGTGTGACGTCCTTATCCAAACAGACTGAACTTCACCAGGAATTACTTTTAACTTAAACCTTATGGGTTGAAGCTTGGACAAAATAAGGAAGCATCCTGTTGGGAAAAGACCACCATACTGGTATATTATCATGACCTGTGCCGGCATTGCAAGTGGATGTAAAGATGATCAGAGCTGTATTTGTTGTTGTTCTGGTCCCTGGGAACAGCTGCTACTGCCAAGCACACAGCTGCTTAGCTATAACAAGAGATGGTGCGTAACATGGATCATAACAAAAATGTTGTATATTCATCACTTAGACTTTTCAGGCTATGAGTGATCACCAAAGAAGAAGAAGCAGCAGCACTAGAAACCTACACACCTAATATTTGGGGTAGGGTTTTTTAGTATAAAAAAATAGCTTCACCGTGATCAATTTGACCGTAAAAGGCTTGAGCGTTGGCAAAATAAATGAGGCCTCCATTAGATTATACATTGAAGAAGGATGGTCTTCTCATTATCTGCCACTCTGAATATCTTCTCAACCGCACATACACTGAGGATTTGGGCCTCTTAAAAAACAAAACAGACTAGCTTCTGACTTAATACATGGACTTTTACATCAGTATATTCTTAGGTCACGTTTTTAGGAGCTACCCTAGTCTCTGGATTGTAAATCCTTTTAACTGATTTACCTTTTATGCTAAAGGGTGGGTAAGAAATCTAATAAATAATAACAGTGATTGATAAATAAAAAGAAAAACTGAGATAAAAAGATTAACTGTAATGAACCAGCATAAATACATTTGGTAGGTATATAAACACAGAGACAGATAAATGATAATTAAAAGCTCTCTCCTTATTCCATTTGGACTTTTATTTTATTTTTTGCTTTTGAAGTAGATGTATAGTTTTTTTAAATAATTGCCATTAGGTTTCATAAAAATATTTTTATATAAGCGGTGTATTTATGTCAGTTTGTAACAGTTAATTTTTTTATCTCTATATTTTTTATTATCATAACTTCAATTTGTCAGGATTTAATCTCTTTTTTGCCCTGATAGATAGATAGATAGATAGATAGATAGATAAAATGTGAATAAACTGGGATAAAACTGGTACAATAATAAAAATAGCAGGACAAATATTTCAGATTATTATAATAACACAGCCATCCATTAAAATAAAAAATAAATATTATGCAGGGATCTATAAGACATTTTGCTACTTACCCACACACTGGTTGCCTTCGCTCATTTGGTAACCAAACCGGCAAATGACTGGAGTTCGTGCAGCAGTTGGATAATTGGGAGCAGGAGCTGGGGCTGGAGGTGGTGGAGGATATGCGTTAGGGTAAGGATTCAGATATGGCGATCGATAAACGGGATTTGTTCGTGGTATACAGAGATAGCCACCATTCTGGTTAACGCACACCATATCTCCTCTACAGGCCTCGACAATAGTCCGACATTCATCAACATCTGAAAGGATGCAGAAGGGAAAAAACAATGTATCTCTCTGCCAGTTAAAGGTTTATTTAGCAAATCAATCATTTGCTATTTAGATCAGTCAACAATTAATGTTTGTACATTTAATCAATTCATCATTCATCATTTATATGCATTGCGTGGACAGGCGGAGCCGCCCAAACTCTGGGCGCCCCCCGTGTGGAATAACGACTCAAGACAACATGCTATGGGATTAAAACTGGCCATGACTTTATTATGTTTCAGATGTGGGTAGACCTTGGCTCAGGCATTGGGCGTTTATCCCTCCCAGTCCCCCGCCGGGGATCTGGGGAACATCAGGGTTATCCAGTGTGTGGAGGGGATGGGCTGGCTGTGGAGAACATAGGTTCAAGCAGAGAGAGCCCGCCCCTGTTACGCCGCCGTCGCAGGGGAGTGCAATGAGGGACGCTAGGCGTTAAGGCCAAAGCGTCCCTCAAAACAACCCCTTTAGCGGGGAACCCTGGTATCGCCGCCGTAGAGAGAAGGGGGGCGTGGGTCACTGCTACATGCCCACCCCCATTTAGGGAAGATAGACTAAAAGATTCTGCCCAAGGCCTGATACCGCCAAAGTTGTGATGTTTTGCTATGGGAAAGGCAAACCTGCCAATGCAGGAGATTTCCTTTCCGGCCCTTCAGCAGTGACCTTGATGTAGCAGCGGCTGCGTATCTGTGGAGAAAAGGTTAACCTGCCAAAGAAGTCTTAACTGAGGGTGGGAAAAGCTCTGGAGCCAACTGACGATTCCCAGGTAAGATTCTCCCCCTATTGTGTGGGCAGGGTAGTCCCTCCCCCTACCTGGTCTGATCACCTTGGCAACGCCTCCCCAGGCGGGATTGGGCAACGGGCTGAGGTAGGTGGAGACCTCCAGGTATCCCACCTGGGGAAGGCGAAGCCAAGCCTGTGCTAATGGTGCTACATAGGGTCCAGGGGAATGCGCACGACAACTCAAAGGGCACCCCCATTTCATGTGGGGAGCGGTCATTTATAAACATTTCAATATAAGTGCCTTTTTTGATACAGAAGTGCAGGAAAACTCAATAATAGTATTATTATTTTTAAATTAAGCCACTGCTAACTTTGGGGGGGGGGGGGAGGAGAAAGGCATTTTTAATACAGGAGAGAAATATGATGCTGCTACACACTAGCAGAACATCAGCCACATCCACTGTGTGCTCAGCCCAGGAGTAACCCTAGAAACCTCCAGGACTATGTTGGTGACAACGCCCACATGCCGCCCACACAGAGGGAGCCAATGGTTTTGAGAGTGACATCACACGCACCCAGCACCTTCATATACACACCACAGGCAATATTATACCATAGTGCCTCCCATCTCATCAGCTGCAGAGGCAGAGCTTGCAACAGCCCCACCACGGCCAGTCCTCAGGCATTCCTCTAGACTCCACAAAAAGGTCGGAGGAACCTTCACTTCGCTGCCAATACATGGGGCTCTGCACAGCCCTCCTGTGTTCAAAGGTTCAAGACCAACCATGAGTGGGAAGAACCTTTTGCGTGGACAGGCGGAGTCCCCCCAACTCCAAGCAACTCCCGAGAGTAATAAGGACTCAAGACAACGTGCTATGGGATTCAAATTGGCCGCAACTTTATTAAGTTTCAGATGTAGGGAGACCTTGGCTCAGGCATTGGGCGTTTATCCTTCCCAGTCCCCAGCCGGGGATCTGGGAGACATCAGGGTTATCCAGAATGTGCGGGGATTGGGCTGGCTCTGGAGAACATATGTTCAAGCAGAGAGCCTGCCCAAAATTTCGCCTCCATTGCAGGGGAGAGCAATGACAACCTCTTGGCGTATGGCCAATGCCTCCCCTCAAGACCCCTTTAAAGGGGAACCCTGGGATCACCACCACAAGGGTGGTTCACCGCTTCACGCCCCCTCCCTCCATTTAGGAAGATAAAGGATTCCGCCCAAGGCCTGAAAGTTGTGACATTTTGCTACGGGGAAGGCAAAACCTGCCAATGAGGAAAATTCCTTTCTGGCCCTTCAACAGTGACCCTGACATAGCAGTGCCTATGGAGCAGTGCCTCTGTGGAGAAGAGGTTAACCTGCAAAAGAAGACTTTACTGAGGGAGGGGAGGGTGGGAGAAGCTCTGGAGCCGACTGCCACTTCGTAGGTAAGATTCACCTTCTGTTGTGTGGGCAGGATGGTCCCTCCCCTTACCTGGCCAATCCCCTGGCAACGCCTCCCCAGGCGGGATTGGGCGACTGGCTGAGGTAGGCAGAGACCTCCTGGTATCCAGCCTGGGCAGGGCGAAGCCAGCCCAAACTACCAGGAGTTGCACTGGGATCCGGGGGGCTGCGTGCGACCACGCAAAAGGAGCCCCCATTTGATGTGGAGAGTGGTCATTGTTAAGCAGCCATGGGGCAGGGCAGGTCACAAGAAGGGCAGCCACCGCACCATACTGACAGCAACAGCAACAGCATCCATTGGCTAACTGCATGAGGTATGGAGCTGGCAAGCAGGAGATGGGAGTTCAAGCTGCACCAGGGGGAAGAGGATATGTGTCCTCACAAGCTATCAGAATGTCATTCCCCCTCACCGCCCAAAAACCTCTCATGTTCTCATGCATGAGCCCACACTAAAAACGCCACAGATGTCAGGGACTGATTGGCTGCAGAGGAATGGTGGGAGGAACCAGGTGGGAAGATGGCTCAGAGCCCAGGAAGTGCTAGTGGTCAGAGGGAGAAGACTGGGAAGAGAAGGTGTCAGAAGCTGAGGAGGTAACATGGTTTGGTGAGCTCAGATTCTGTGGCAAAGAGAAGCCCAAAATCAGAGGCAGAAGCTGAAGCAGTAGAGTGGAACGACAGAGGCCAAGAGCAGAAATGAGTCAGGCTAGTGAAGAGTCATGTGTGGCTCCCCCTCCTGCTGCAACAGGTTCCTCTCCTCCCTGGTCTCCCAGAACCAGGAGAGGCATGAACAGGGCAGAGGAGATGCTATCATCATGCAAGCACAGTCTCAAATTGCTTGGGGGAAACCCTGGAGAGGAGAGGACTTAGGCAGCTGTGGGGAGGATGTGGGAACCTTCAGTCTCAGCAACTGCTTCATGGGGGCAAGACCTACCAGAGACGAGTCGCTATGCGTTCATTAGACCTGACACTCTTTTTCAGACTGTGATTTTGCTAATAAAGAGTTAACTCCAACTTGTGATTTACTGCTGGCTCACGGCTAACAACAGAGCAGTTCCACAGCAGTGGAGAATAGAACATTATGGGGAAAGCTGCCCAGAAGAGGGGGCTGCAGAGGGTAATGGGCTAAATGCCTCCCCATATGTTCTCAAATGGGAGCCTCCACTGGATCTCAGTCCTGGAAGGGTCCCTTCTCTTCACTAAAGGGCACTCTGGAGACAACTCAACATACATACATACATACATACATACATACATTTCATTAACTAAAACAATAGAAGGCTCATTGATATTACCTTGGTCTTGCCATGTCATGCAGATTGATAATAGTTTGTGCACAAGGTGAAGCAGTAATGCAATTTCCCAGATCCCCATTTTTAACATCCCGTCACACAGCTGCTAAGAACCATCTAATGGTGCAATAAAATGTAGACTCGCATTGGCAAGATCAACACAGGCCAACAGGGAGGTCTGGCATAAACTAGACTACTCAAAAAGCCTCATCTAACCCACATCATTTTATCTTATCCTACTCTTATGTTTCTAGTGAAAATGTAAAAGATCCCATTCTTATTGCCTTCTCTACTATGGTTTCATTGCTAATTGCAAACTCCTGTAGCCTTTTTCCACTAACACATTTGTAAAAGAACATTGGGATACAAATTTCAGGCTTGTGGTTCCCCACCACCACCCCCGACACTGATGGTTTGATTTGGCAGCTGTGAAACTTGGCTCTGAATCTGGAACTGCAAGCTTCTTTTACACTCTTGCTTGCATAAACATGGTTACAGGATATTAAACTCTGAGGATTTGTTTCAGATATCCTCTTAGCTCTCACCATTTGAAAGTTATTTCATGTGTCATAATGAATTGACTTCAGACAGATACAAACTGATTAATAAGATTAGACTGCAGGCACCATTTTGGAGACCCTCTTCCTGTTTTGTCTCCTCTGCCAGAGAGCTAACAAATGAATGAATTTTGGGGAGGGTTCAGTGGGAGAGCATCTATTTTGCATGCAAAAGGTCCCTAGTCCAATCTCCGCCATCTCTAGCTAGAGTTGGGAAGGCTCCCTGTCTGAAAACCGCTGCCAATCTGTGTGGACAATATGGACCAGTGATTTGACTAAGTATATAACAGTTTCCTATGTTCCTAACTAAAGCTTTGGTGGTCATACTAAATACCACCAAATGAATACATGGATTCAACTGGCAAGTATGGATTTGAAGCTAGATTATACGTTCAAAATCCAGCAGCTTGGCTATTGTCACCACGTATTAATGACATCATCCCTAACTATAGCCATTTAGAATCATGAAGTTTGTAGTGACTCTGAGGATCATTTAGTTTAACCCCCTGCTAATGCAGGAAATCTGATGTTAAAGTATCCCTGATAGGTGGCTTTCCAGCCTCTGCTTAAACGCCTCTAACAAAGGAAAACAGGTCATGCCACCAATAAGTTATTCCTAACATTTAGTTGAAATCCCTTTGTAATTTAACCCATTGCTTTGGCTCCTACCCTCTGGAGGAACACAAAGTAGCAGATGCAGTTAACACCCTGAAGCAGACATACTGAAGGACAGAACCATAACCAATATGCTACGATCAGACAAAGGCACTGTACATAATGAGTAGTCGAGTCCTAGTTCAAAGGAATTGATGCAATAAAATCCTACCTAAGCACTGGCCCGAGGTACGGTCCATCTCAAACCCATTTGAGCATTGTTGCTAAAAAGAGAAAAGAAAAGGACACTCAGTCAATGGAAACCTGGATAAACACAGATCAGAATGAATTAGGATTCTCCCTTCCACACTTTGGTGCTGAGTTGCAAAATTTGCAGCAGACACACAAATTCAGGTACCACTATAAGATAGGTGAATGAAAGAACCCACAAGTGCCAACATGAAACTCCTAGTTGGCTGTGGTCCTAAACCCAAAGCATTCTACCACTAGAGAATATGCACAATAGAGATAAAATCACAGTTCCATTCTTTTGGGTCAGGGCTAGATTTGCTCTTGTCATTAAATGTGCAATTATTAAACTAAGGGCTCATCCACACTGCCATGTGGCCTGCCGCTTTCCCCCAAGAAAACCCATAGCTGAACAGTGAATTGAACCAAATGGCAATCAGGTTTTGCGTGGGTTGCCATTTGTCCCCATTCAGTGGTAAAGTGTGTGTTTTCTCCAGGAAAGCTGCGGGAAAATAAAATTAAAAAATAAATAAATGCACAGGACAAGTGAAATGTGGAAGAGCACTAAATGTAAAACTACTGCAAAATTATCACACCATATCCTTAAAGGACACTCAAAGCATACCCACCCATAATCCTCAGAACTGTAGTTTACCCCTCACAGAACTACAATTCCCAGCACCCATAACAAACAACAGTTGAAGTTTCTTGCACGGGGGGGGGGGGAGGGCAGTGCTTTAAAGGTATAGTACGTACACAGTCATATTTTATACCTATGTCCCCCACCTCACCCCATTGCACAAGCTGGATTTTGAAGTTTTCAATATTCTGATATCCTTTTCAAAGAGAGAAAGAGAAAAGGAAGGAAAAAAACACAACAACAAATTTAAATGCGTTTTTTAAGGTTCCTTTTTTTAAAAAAAGAAGCTAAAAATGAGTTTGGTAAAAACTACTGTAGTTCAAAAGACCAGGTGGCTCAACTAAATCATTGGCTTTAGTTTCTCCAAATTCCATCATGCATCTTCTGGCAGACCATTAGAGGATCTTGCTGGGTGAACACGAGGTCTTCAGGAAACTACCCTCTCTCCCATCACTTTCCCACATTGTTCCAATGTTTGCCACTAGCAGCGTTCAACTCTCTATAAATACAGCAATCTGCCATTTAGGATGCAAGCTTGTTTAAAGCACATGAAACTTAATAATTCCATTGTCTGGAAGCATAAATGCATTTGTTTCGTGGAAGGGACTTGCAAGGATACATAGCCAATCTATCAAAAAAAAATAAAAATTGCAGCGTTTTTATTTACTGTACATCTCTCTTTTGTTGACTACAGTGGTACCTCAGGTTACATACGCTTCAGGTTACATATGCTTCAGGTTACAGACGCCGCTAACCCAGAAATAGTGCTTCAGGTTAAGAACTTTGATTCAGGATGAGAACAGAAATTGTGCTCCGGCGGCGCGACAGCAGCAAGAGGCCCCATTAGCTAAAGTGGTGCTTCAGGTTAAGAACAGTTTCAGGTTAAGATCAGACCTCCGGAACGAATTAAGTACTTAACCCGAGGTACCACTGTATAGCCAGGGGAGCCATTTAGAAAGGATGGGAGAAGTCGCCCACCTTTCCCTTGTTTTTCAGACATAATGTAATGTAAATATTCTTTGGTAATGTTTGTCTCTTCAGTAATGGAGTAGGATAAAACAAAGCAAAAATGATGCACTTAACCCAACCTAGGTGGTGGTGCTTTTCTTGCAATTTAAACATGACTGTTCTCTAGAAACAGGCCTCTGAACTTTACTCTGCATCTTTCCCCTTCATTTTTAAATATCCCAAATGCCTGAAGAAGCATTCCCCCCCCCAAAAAAAACCTATAACATTGAACTCTCAACTTATCCCTCGGCTTTATGGCAAGGTACAGAAGTTCTATGAGATACCTGTCATCTATATCTATGGATATAAACCTTATAGAAGACACTCAGGGAATGTGAGTGGGGTCAGGAGAATTAGGTGCATTTTATTCTTATTCTTAAAGTGAGCCTTGCTTCCTCCTGACCTCACAACTGAAGATAAACCCTCAGGGTTCCTCTTCCCTACGGGCTTCAGGTGGGCTGCTTGCCTTTTTTAGTTAACAAAACACTGCACAAACATTCATGCATTCATCAGTTCATTAGTGTGCTTGTACTGTTAGTGCTCCCCACTAGTAAAACCAATTGTTTTTAATTGCAGGATTGCTCTGAGAAATAGAGAGGGGGGTTATTGATGGGGGCCATATATCAGCATCAGCTTCTGCTTCAGACTTGCAAGGGTTTTTAAAGCTTAACCTTGGGGGGGGGGCTAAGCTTGATGATGGAATACTTTGAGGTTGTTTCATAGAATTGTAGAGCTGGAAGGGAAGCCGGGGGTCATTTAGTCCAACCCCCTGAAATGCAGGAAACTCAGCTAAAGCATCCATGACAGGTGGCCATCCAACCTCTGCTTAAAAACCTCCACGGAAGGAGAGTTTCCAGAGTGCACTCGCTGCTCTAAACTTGTTGGGTGTGTCTTCACCCTTAAGGGAAAGAGGAAAGGGAACGTCAGCAGATACACATGTTATGAGCCCCTTATTTACATCCTGGAGAGGCTGGGCCACTTGGGATGAGCAGGGGGAGGAGTTCAAAATGGTGCCTGACAATGACTCTGGGGAGGGAACCAGGTTAGGACAGACTGTGGCCTGGTTCCTGACTCCCATCGGTGCATTGTGGGGAGGAGTCTACAGGTGAGAAATCTCAGCAGGTTGCCACCTAGCTCATAAGTACCAGCCTCAACTACTCTGCCACCAGCACTGCCCCTGGTGCCGCCAGAGCTTCAGCCTGCATCAGCCTCTACCGATATGCCCCTGCACACTGAGGAGGTGGCTGATGCCCAGTCTGATTTTTAGGTGGCCCTGCTGCCTCCTCTGTCACCTATGGCACAGAGATGCTAGCACTGGCACAGACAGACAACTCAAGTACAGTTCCTCAGGCGTTTGCTTGCTCAGTCCAGAGCTGCATCCCGCTTGCTATGCTAAAGCCATGCATGCCCTGCTCCTTTAAAACAGTGGTCCTTGCTTCCAGAACATACTGGTCTGAGTAATGAAATCTATAGTAGGATCCGAGTCCAAGTCCCACATCCAGGACAGTTTGATCCAACCCACACCTTCTCAAGGTGCCGGAATGGATGAAGGTGCTGGGGGGCAGGAGCAGCTGTGATCATCGGTGTCTACTGAGCCCTCCAAGCCTTTGCCCAGGAGATTGCCACCCTGAGAGGACAGCTTGTGCAAGCAGCTCAGCCAGCTGCCTCACCAGTCAAGACTCGTCTGCCCACTGGTCAAGTTCCAAGGAAACTGGGATCAGTTCATAGCATGATCTATTCATGTGTGTGAGGGCAGCCGAGCGGAAGATTCCCACCAAATACTCAGCTGACAGAGGTGTGTTCTGCAAAAAAGAGCAGTATCGGCTCCCGTCTCACTGTCTCTATTATGGTACCATTGAAGCACTGGGAGAATTCATTGATACCAACCTCAAGTGAGGATCCATCCTGTCTTCCATGTCTCCTGCTGGAGCCCCGATCCTGTTCGAAGAAGAAATCAGGAGTAACAACTGCTGTGCGCTAAACAGGATTACCATCCCTAATCACTACCTCTGTTCACTGATCAAAGGCCATGCACCATCAATATCTTCACTAAGCTGGATCATAGAGTGGGCTACAAACTAGTAAGAATCCAAGAAGGGGATGAATGGAAGACTGCTTTACAAACCCAATATGGACATTATGAATACACTGTCATCCCATTCGGCTTCTGCAATGCCCCTGCTATCTTCTAACACCTCATGAGCGACATATTCAGATACTTTCTTGACAGGTTCGTGGTGGTTTAACCAGACAAAATCCTTATCTGCTTGGAGTCACCCCAGCTCCAGTGGTTAACAGGAAAATCTCCATGTCAAGCTGGAAAAGTGCAAGTTTGACCCCTCCAGCATCAACTTCCTTGGATACCTGTATCTCCCACCAAGAGGTAGAGATGGACCAAACACATGGCATGCTAACCTGGCAGTCCCCCAAAGCCAAACAAAAACTTGCAAAGCTTCCTTGGCTTTGCTAATGATTACTGGAGGTTTGAAAACCACCACCGCACTCACAGACTGTCTTAAGGGAAAGAAGTCATTTCAGTGGACAGCAGACACACAAAAAGCCTTTGAACACCTAAAGGAACCTTTTGTTTCTGAACTGATCATATACCACTCAGATCTGTCCCATACCTTTGCTGTGGAACCTGATGCCTCTGATGTGGCTACCAGGGTGATTCTGCTGCAGGCTGAAGAGATGGGAGGAGGAGCTTGTCCCTACATGTACTACTCCCCAAAATTAACCCTGCCCAAACAGAACCACACCATCTGCTGCAATAACAGCAAAGACACTTTCAAGGTGTGGCAACACACTATAGAGATCCAGATGGACCACCACATCTTAGGGATTGCCTGGCCACTAAATCAACGACAGTTCCACAGGTCACAGTTTTTCACCTGGTTCCATTTCAAGATCACCAACATACTCAGCACTTAAAATTGATGAGAGGATGCCTTCTCCTGCAAGCCGGAATACAACAGCACCAGAGCAGAGTGGGAGCCTGAACTGAACCCTTCATCCAGAGCAATTGATAGTGGACAGCTCCTGCCAACCTAGCAGTTTGAAAGCACGCCAAAAATTGCAAGTAGATAAATAGGTACCGCTCTGGCAGGAAGGTAAATGGCGTTTCCGTGCGCTGCTCTGGTTTTGCCAGAAGTGGCTTAGTCATGCTGGCTACATGACCCAGAAAAACTGTCTGCGGACAAACATCGGCTCCCTCGGCCAGTAAAACGAGATGAGCGCCTCAACCCCAGAGTCATTCGCGACTGGACTTAACTGTCAGGGGTCCTTTACCTTTTTAAAGGAGCAACAAAGGTTCCTTTGTTGAGGAACAACAACAGCTTCAGACAACATAAAATCCTGCACACAGTCACTCGTGAATTCTGGTGGCCAAAAATAAACCACCATGTAGAAAAATATGTGCAATAATGTACAAAAATTGTGTGACACTTGCTAGTGGGCTGGCCTGCCTCCTGTAACTACCCTCTACATCCATTGGACCATGGGAAATGGTTTCTATGGACTTCATCACTGAACTCAGCACCACATTACAATTTTAGTGGTGGTCGACACCTTTAGCAAGACGGCTCATTTTGCTCCCTTGCACTGGACTCCCAAATTTGTATACAACTGCATCTAGAACTCCACTCAATAGACTCCATTCCTCACCAGCTATGGATTCCACCCATGCACCTTTCACTCATACTTTATTGGCTGCTTCAGCTACTGACTTTGTCCAAGAACTGCAAGCTATAGAATAGCTGCTACAAGAACTGGAAGGAGCCATGGCCACTTACATGAAAGCTGCTGATGTGCACTAACCATCTGGAAAAGACCACCTGAGCATGAAGCCGCAAGCTAGAAGGCCTCAGATTTGGGTCCTGTGTCGCTGAAGCACAAATCAACCTAGTCACATTCTGGTTACTTCTCTGGCTCTCCATGAAACTCCACCCTGTAGTCCAGGGGAGAAGTCCATGGGTTAGGAATCCAATGCCATGGCGGGACCCAGTGTATTGCTGAGCTAATGTCATGCCTACTCTGCTCCTTTGCAACAGGAATACAAGAGGCGTCTCTACGGTTGGATCAACATCTTAGGTTGCCAAGCCATGCACCAGTGACCCTTGCCTTGCTTCCATCACATACTGAACTGAGCAATAAAGTCTATAGTAGAAAATGAAATCCAAGCCCCACATCCAGGACAGTTTGATCCAACCCACACCTTCTCAAGGTGCCGGAAAGGATGAAGGTGCTGGGGGGGGGGAGGCAGCTGTGATCATTGGTGTCCACTAAGCCCTCTAGGCCTTTGCCCAGGAGAGGACCCTGAGAGGACAGCTTGTGCAAGCAGCTCAGCCAGCTGCCCCACCAGTCAAGACTCTTCAGCCCGCCTGCCAAGTTCCAAGGAAACTGGGTTCACAGCGTTCATGGGCCAGTGTGATCCATGAATGCGTGTGAGAATTTCCTGACAATGCAATGAAGGTTGTGTTCATCAACACCCTGCTTGATGAGGATAACAAGGGGTGTGTTAAGTGTTGGCCCAGCATGTTGGCTTGCCTAGCTGTGCCATGCACATGTGGTTTTTTGTGGGGTTTTTGAGGGACTATCAAGAGGACAGTGCTCTGTTGCTGCCCTAGGGACCTTTAGGAGATGGGCAACATATAAATTTAATAATACTGGAAGACATCATATATACATTTACGAGCACAATTCAAAGTGTTGGTGTTGACCTTTAAAGCCCTAAACGGCCTCGGCCCAGTATACCTGAAGGAGCGTCTTCACCTCCATCGTTCTGCCCGGACGCTGAGGTCCAGCACTGAGGGCCTTCTGGCGGTTCCCTCACTGCGAGAAGCAAAGCTACATGGAACCAGGCAGAGGGCCTTCTTGGTAGTGGCACCCGCCCTGTGGAACGCCCTCCCACCAGATGTCAAAGAGATAAACAACTACCTGACATTCAGAAGACATCTTAAGGCAGCCCTGTTGAGGGAAGTTTTTAATGTGTGACATTTTAATGTATTTTTAATCTTTATTGGAAGCCGCCCAGAGTGGGCGGGGTACAAATAAATTATTATTATTATTATTATTATTATTATTATTATTATTATTATTATTAATGTCCAAGGCTGATAATGTACCGTACATTTAAAGCACATGGTTTCCCCCAAATAATCCTAGGAACTCTAGTTTACCCCTCACAGAGCTACATTTCCCAGAGAAACTACAGTTCCCAGAATTCATTGTGAGAATGTCATATGCAAGATTAAAAACCATAAAATGGGCCACAGGCGCTTTGAAATTGCCTATCAGCAGTTTCTATCAGGACAGAAAAGTGAGCAGGCAATGTAGGTCACAGTCTTCCCCACCATGGTCACAGAATCACAGAGCTGTAGAGTTGGAAGGGACCATGTGGGTCATCTAGTCCAGCCCTCTGCAATGCAGGCATCTTTCACCCAATGTGGGGCTTGAACCCACGACCCTGGGATTCTGAGTCTCACGCTTTACCAACTGAGCTGCAGACATATGCACATCAGATGCATTTCTAATTAAACTGCAGCAATTACTGTATTTCTAAATTGTCGTCTTATACATATATAGTAGCATGTGGAATGTTTATGAAAACATGTGTCCTATTTTATCCTAATTTTTTGGCTATGTGTAAATGTCCACCATAGGTAGGTGAAGCAACTAGTAAGCAAATTATTTAAATTGAAAGGCAACAGCTAGAATTTATTTAACAGGAAGGAGGGAAGAGGTGAGGGATGAAAAGGAACAGCTCAGGCAAGTATATGATTTTTAAAACACTTCTAAGCAACGGAATAAAAGCAAAGTCCAGCTTTCAAGTCGGCCAGGTGAGCATTCAGAATCTCACAAACTTATTGCTGGCTTTAGGGCTAGGCCTCAGATTCTGTCACACACCTTGGCCTAGGAGCTTCTATATGATGGCAAAAGGCATAGACTGTTGCTACTGTTTCTGCCAATATGGATCCTTTATTCCCTTTCTGTAATCTCCTCAGTCTCTCTGTCCTGTTTACAGAATCTCCATCTCTACCCCCATCTCCTCAGTTTCATATTGCAGTTCCTCAGAGCCAAAAAGAGAGAGACTGTGCTCCTAGCATCCCAGAGACAGCTATGCTACCAGGGTTCTATTATTATTATTATTATTATTATTATTATTATTATTATTATTATTATTATTATCCTGCACTTCCTCTGAGAGGAGCCCAGGGCAGCAAACAACAAAGCGGCAAAACAATACCATGGAAAATAAAGGGTTGTAGCAAGAGAAAGTCCCCTCGCTATTATCCCCCCTGTGCCTCCCCAAACTATTCTGGGGACCAACCTCCAACGCTGCCAAAGTATTTGGGGTTGGGGGCACATAGGCAGATGAGAGGGAAGGGGACTTCTGTCATACAAGTGGATCTCCTTGTGCTAACAGGCCAATGTCACTGACTGGAGACAAACCATCGCACATAAAAAGATTTAAAAATATTATTAACAGCTAAAAAAAAAATTAAGACCATCTTAAAAATAAATAAATAAAAGCGGTCACATATTATTGTTTGTCATTCTCATCAAATGGTAGGCTTCTGGGCCTGGACCTCCTTTCATTTTTTAAAAGAAACAACAAACTCTCTACTGTCTGGGTTTCACTGCACACCTTAGAATTCTGGCCTAAAGTGTGTTTTCCTATATATTTTAAAGCTAAAAGAAACAATGGCCATTTGCTTCTGCCTTCTGTATTCTAGGGACAATAGTTTTATCAAGAATCTCTCTGTCAACATATGTCTCTTGTAACAGCTCATGTTGCAGGGAATTCTGTCCTGAAGATGCGCCTGTAGGAAATACATTTGCCGCCATCTGGCAAAGGCGGAAAAGAGCAGCTGAAACTCCCTTGCTTACAAAACTGTTTAGGTGCCAGAATCCTGCCCTCTTTTTCACCTGATCACCATATCTGGTAGAAGTATATATTACTTCTGCCCTAACTACATTGCCTATTAGGTGATTGGCTTTGGGGCACGATTTTGATGAATCTGTTATGAACCTGGTTAGGATTTGGGTAGGCTGACATAAGGAACTGAATTACACCAGATCAAACTATTGGTCTATCAAATCCAAGATTTTGTACTTGAAGGGTGGGGAACCTGTGGCCCTCCAGATGTTGATGGACTACAGCTCCCGCAGTCCCTCATCACTGACCATGTTGGCTGGGGATGATGGGAGTTGGAGTCCAACAGCCTGTAGAGGGCCACAGTCTACCACCACTGGTCTACTCTGGCTGGCAGCAGTTCTCCATGGTCCCAGAAAGAGTGAGGCCTATCCCATGAGCCACTTCCTGGTCCTTTAACCTGGAGATGTGTTCAATCACTGATCTATAAGGGTGTGGAGAAGACGTTGAGCTGAAGTCAAGTTCTGCATAGCAATGCTGGGTTCTTACTAGTTTTTACATGGTTTTAACATGGTTTTTCATGGTTGTACATGGTTTTTCTAAGTCAGTTTACCATAACTTCTACTTATTGATGCAACTATTGATTTTTGTTCTTACAAAGGCCATATAACACTGCAATAATAATAATTATTATTATCATTATTATTCTTATTATTATACGCACCACCACCAAGTTGAATGAGAGAATAAGTCTAATGCAAATGTCAGGCTCTGGTTCTGTCTTGACCCAAGCCAACAGTGTAACACAAATCCAATATTGCACTGTGTCCTGGTCTTCCTCTTTGGCAGTCCACGGTCATGAAATCTCTTTGTATGAAACGTTGAAATATTTGTGACATATCTTACCTGCGTCTTCCCACGACTTAAGAGGCAGGCAGCCACCATGAAAATGGTAATTATCCTGCAATAGGAACAAAAACCTCATGATTATGCAGGACAGTGATATGTGTAACCCACCTGTTTTCTGATATGATCCCACTGCACTTAGCCACCATTGCATCCAGAGCTACACCAGAGGAACATTTAGCTAAAGGATAATTATTATAATCTGAAAATGGGGTTCTGAGAACAAGCACACTCATCACTGCAGTAACCATGGGTGGTGGTGGGGTGTTCAAGGCTTACATGACAGGGGAAAGAGGTTAAAAACAGGCATTTATATTATATTATATTATGTGTGTGTGTGTGTGTGTGTGTGTGTGTGTGTGATCACTTTGTTGACTTTAATAAGTGGCAAGCCAGTCCTGCTGCATTTGAGGCTGCTCTCCGCTGAGCGAGACTCTGGGCTTTTTCCTACAAAGGTCTGTCCTGACCGTAATGTCCATTTCCTCTGAGGGTAAGTAATGTTGTCTTTCTGTGCATCAGGTGTGATTGCACAACACAGAAAAATGGGCCATTCTGGCTAAATTACCCACTTCCAACAGAAGAATAGCAGAGCAGGGCAATGAAACATTCACTGAGTCAACTAATACACAGCCGCCTATGAAAGAAGCATTCAGGAGGAGCCTGTGGCCTATTGAACAGTTCTTTAAAATAGAGTTGCTGTATCTTTAAGGGTCATCTCCTGGTTGTTGGGTCTAGGCAGAAACTGTGGGGAAACTGTGGTCCTCCAAGACATTGTTGGACTCCAGCTCCCAATAGCCCCAGATAGCATGGGATGATGGGGATCCAGCTCCCATTAGCCCCAGATAGCATGGGATGATGGGATGATACTACAAAACCATCCACAGGGGCTACAGGTTGCCCATCTGTAGAGAATTTGGGCTGCGTGATCCTGCAGCTAGCAGGGAGTTGCTGTCCTCTGTTTGTTGTTTTGTCTTTTTGGTCTTCCTCTAGAGTTAGTGAGACCTCATGCTGTCTTTCATGCGAAGTCTTTACTTAAAAGAACCCCTAATTTTATAGCACACTTTCAGATGGCACACAGTTTGAGAATTGCCGGGTTAATAACTGTCCTGTGTTTGGGTGCTGGATGCCAACTCTTCAAAGGTACAGCTCTTCGTTACAATTGATCATTAGGGTGCTGGGAATTATAACTCTATGAGGGCTCTCCTAACACTTCTCAGTACTCTTAACGAACTGCAGGATTCAGCTGCCAGGATTCTTTGGAAGAAGCCATGACTTTTAAAGTGGTATTAGAGTGCTGACTATTTTTGAATACTTAAAATACAGCCGTCCCTATGCCTTGGAAATCAAATGTTTAAAATGTGAACATTATTATTTCTGTAGATTTGCTGTCATATAATCTCTCAGTCTCTCAACATAAAGTTTCTTGAACTTCAGTTCATACCGTATTTGTGTGATCTTTCCAGGAAGGCAACTTGTTTACATTAGCTGACATAATCCATCATAATTTTTAGTACAAGCCCCATTGAAATTTGATGTATGAGAGAGCATGGTAGTTTAATGGAGCTTGTGCAGAACAACCTTTTGGTTGATTGCACCTTTATTAATATATAGCTTCTATGTCTATTTAACTGTTTGTGGGGGGATTTGATTTAAAACATTTTCTAGGAAGGCCAGTGCTTCAAAGAAAACTTTTTTCATTGCCGCTCCCAGAGTTTTCAACTCCCAAAGCACAAGTGGATGCTAACAGCATATTTTGTTCTCTCTGCATATTACAGAGGAGGCAAACAATGCTGTTTTTAATTCTGACAGCAACTTCTCAAGCCCTTCAGAACATGATTCAGAAACAAAGTACAAAAAAACAAGCAAATCCCTCCATTGGTAATCCTGTGCAGGCAGATGTTTGGTTGCTTGGCAGGCCTTTCAGTCATAGAAAACTAGAATTGTTCTCCAGAGACACTGCCTAGTGCTATGTCATCTGTCATTCAATGCTGAACTTTGTCTATGGAGCTCCTGGAAGCTTTCCAGTGAGGTAGTCCAACTTCAAAAATGCACACCCAAGTGCAGATTCATTCTGTAGCACAAGGAGAAGGACACCAAGCTGTTGCTCATATTACAAAGCAGCAAACCTGGGCTTGCCAATGAGAGTGTACAAGTAACTGGGCAATCCTGGATCCCTGATGAATATACCAGTATAATGGCACACCTGTTTGTGACCACATGTTGGTTACATCCACACATTAGAACAAGCACACTTGCAAATATAACATAGGAAGATGACTGCTGGGTCAGACACAAGTTCCATCTAGCCCAGTTTGCCACCATGGCCAACCAGATGCACCCATGGAACCAGCGCATGAAGGCAAAATCCCCCCTTTGCTGGTGCAACTGGTATTCAGACCTTTCTTGCTTAAATGGCCCTGAAGGAGCTCTGTTCCTCTGTACTGAAAGTGCAACACATAAAGCTCTGCTCATCAACACTTTTGAGTGTGGAGGAAGAAAGAGGTTTCAGAGTCACCAGTCAACAGCAAGATTAAGGATTTGGCTTAATTCCTAGCTGCATGTAACTGACCTTGTGCATATTATTCACCTCTTGCCTTCCTCTTCCTCCCTCTGTCATTTTTTCCCATTCAAAATTTACATTGCAAGCTCCTTGGGGTAGAGACCTGACTTTTTTTGTTTGGCCTCCTCTGTAAAGCACCATTTACAGGGAGAGTGATATAATCTTCTTCATCAACAACAAATCCCTGAATTTCTGTATATCTCTTCAGTGTCATGTTTCCAGGTTTACTTTATTTACAATCCCTATCACTTCTTCCAGACAGCTATTCTCAAGAGATCTGTCACATTTATCAGCTGGAGAGGCTGGCTTAGCCACCAGATGCAATAGCAGTTAAATAATAGTGAACGATGAAATCAAACAATTTTTACACATGTTTGCACAGGGGGGAAACCCCCTTTAAGATCCACACTTTCTATAAGTTACTGCAGCTATCAAGGGCAAAAGGAGAAAAGAGTGCAAAGGAAATTGGTAGATGCTACGTATACATCATGCTACAGAATAGTCTGTTTCCCTGCTCTCCCTCCTGTTAGTTTACATACAGCTTTAGCAAATGTGATAGGAGAAGAGACATCAGCTATTAAGCAAGGTTTGCATTCAGTAAACACTAAGAGAGGGAGAGGGAGAGAGAGTGCATAGGACCTACCTTTTTAATCCTGTCATGTCCAAAACTGAAGAAAAAAGTTGAGCGGGGAAAATAATGTGTGCACAGCTGAATAGCTGAAAAATAGTTTTGCACATTAAACCTTTTGCCAGAACGTTAGTCCTGCCATCATTTATATTCCACAGAATGAAAGACCCAAAATCATAGAGAAGCAGAAGGAGAGAGAGAGAGAAAGAGGGAAGGAAGGAAGGAGGAGGAGGGAGGGAGGGAAGGAAGGAGGGGAGAAGAGTGAAGGGAGAAGGAGAGATCTGCTCCTCCTTAGACACTGGAGAGAATACAGCAAAAGCACCTGGTTTTGCTTAGTTCTCTTCTGTAATTCAGCATTAAACCAATTGGAGGAGGAATGTTAAAAATGAACACTTCATTTTCTAAGTATGTTAAACAATGCAAATGGGAGGCCTCAGTCTGGGGACAGCTGTTTTAGATTAGAGAGCTCACCAACTGGCTAGACTCCTCACAACACTCCTGAGGAGCCTGCCAGGATTAAAAAAAAACCCCGCTCACAGTTTGAAGAGAAGCCTTTCCCGCTGCAAATGTTACTGAGGAGCGTGCCACAGGAGGAACAGCAGTACTGGCATGGGGCAGATAGAAAGACGTCCTCAAGAACTAATCTTGCTTATGTCTCATTATCTTATCCTTTCCTAAACAATTTGCCAAATATACCAAAGAGAGCTTCAATCATCTGATGGGCAAAGAATGAATTCCTTCCTTGAGTTCCTTGGAGGAAAGGTAGAATTAAAATGTAATAGCAAAATATAGTAAATAAATACAAATAAATTCTTCTTCTTCTTCTTCTTCTTCTTCTTCTTCTTCTTCTTCTTCTTCTTCTTCTTCTTCTTCTTCTGCGATCACTCATAGCTGAATAAGATTGTCTTCCATAAATATGGTTTTAAAAGTGAGTCCGTAAGTGACTGTAGAGGACAATTCGGGATCCATACGTTCTTCCACAGTGGGGACATTGGTTTCCGGGCGGGAGTTGATCATGGTGTGGATTTGCCAAGTGTGCCTTCCTCTTAGCGTGTTTCTCCCTTGCGTTCTGAGTTTGAGCATCTTCAAAGCCTTGGTAAAGGCTGTTCTCCAATTGGAGCGCTCGCAGGCTAGTGTTTCCCAGTTGTTGGTGTTTATACTACATTTTTAAAGATTTGCCTTGAGAGTCTTTAAACCTCTTTTGTTGACCACCGCGATTACAATTTCCATTTTAAAGTTCAGAATAGAGTAGTTGCTTTGGAAGACAATAATTAGGCATCCGAACAACATGACCAGTCCAACGAAGTTGATATTGAAGAATCATTGCTTCGACACTGGTATCTTTGCTTCTTCCAGTACACTGGCATTCGTTTCCTGTCTTCCCAAGTGATGTGAAAAATTTTTTGGAGACACTGTTGATGGAATCTTTCGAGGAGTTGGAGATGGCGTTTATAAGTGGTCCATGTTTCACAAGGTATATAGGCAATACTGCACTAGACAGACAGTATATGGCTGCTTTCTTTTGCATGCCATCCCAGCCTCTGAGGGGTTCCGGACACTTTCCCAGGGTTTGGTTTCCTTGGAATGATATATAGTTATGATATATAGTTTATCTACACAAATATACAACTTGTAGCTAAGATTTGGGGTGGGGGGCTCACAGCATTAACATCCGGACCTAGAAGGTCTTGCCTCTCCTGCTTCTAGCACTGCCTATTGCCTTTCTAAGTAGCAGCTTGTTAGAGGGCAAAAGTTCCATTCATTTGCCCAGAAGGTACCGTCTCTTCTCCTTTTAGACTAATGGTGGTCCTTAGGTGGCCATTGTCTCATAAACTTGCCTGACTAGTTTAACTATTAATAAACCTTTACCTGCATTCAAGAAACATGTAAATACTTTAAAAAAACAAAACAGGCCAATAATTTTATGACATTTCTACATTGTTTTAACTGCTGTCTGCAATATGATATAGTGTTGTTTTAAATCACTATTTGGTGTGGGTTTTTTTATTGTTTATCATAATGTTGGCAATGTACCCATATCCTTTTAAAATTCATTATTCCAGAAACTACATGAAGTTCAGAGATAAGTGCAAATTGAATGGATTTTCAGATAAGAGACTATACTGACTCCGCATAAACGGCAAGCCAAGTCCCGTTCGCGCAGTCTGACTGAATAAACTTTAAATGCCTCTAGTCCATCCTATGCTGGTTTATAGCTAATATTAGGTATACAATATCAAATTAATCCACTGTTCCCACACTGGTTGAACTTTGACTGCTAAAATGCAATCTAAATTCTGTTTTGCAGCATTTTTTGTAAGATACAGATTCTCACCACTTTTTTGCTTGCTCTATGATACCTATCTGGGGTGTATGGGATATCAGGGGAGGGGTAGTACCACTGGTGAGCGACACGCTAGGCACCTTCTGGGATGGTTTGTTCACCTTTGACCCCCACCCTGCACGGAGCTCTCACCTGTGGCTCCTAGAAGCATGCGATAGCGGCCACATCTCGGGAAATGGCTTTCAGTGGCCAGCTAAAGCAGGTGAAGTGAGCCAATGGTTCTCAAACCCTCTGGAGTTAGAGAGGTTCCCCTGCATGCGATGGACAGGCTTCAGCAGATTGCATGGACGAGACCAATAGTGGGTTCCATGGTCAAGAAGGTGGGTTCTGCATGTAATGTAGAGGGAAATGAGGGGCAGATGTGGCTCATCAACCTGCAAAGCTAGTCCATCTAGGAAAAGGAAAACTGATCTGAAAATTCTGCTGCCTTGTGGGAGAAGAAAAGGCTAAGGAGTAAACCCTACACAAATCTGGAGTGGATTCAAAAGGACTGGAGCAAATTTATATTTTATATGAAAGAAAATTGTAAACATCTGAAAAGGTTTGTAGGTCTGAGTTGAAATGTTTGGTAATGTGAAAATAAGGAGCTGTTTTACATAGAAGGAGGTGAACGTCAAAAGTAGATATAAGGTAAAAAAGTGGCTATAGAAATGCGAAGAATTGGTAAAGATGTTTGAAAGTCAGAAAGAGGGTGGGAAGGAGGTCGATGCTTTGTGTGAGCAATGTTTTAAGTTATGGATTTGTGTAATGAAATTGTAATGAAATATGGAAAACTCAATAAAAAATATGTTAAAAATCAAACAAATCTGGAGTGGAGTACCTAAGATGGTTAGGTGGTTCCTTGGCTTGTACACCTCCTTCTGGCAACTCCTTCAGCTAAGCAGGTGCTTGGACTACAACAGCGTTTTTGCCTTTTGGAGAGTGTATGTGCACCTTGCATAAGCTTGTGCATGAAAGCTGCTAGATATTAAATCTGGGAAGAGAACAGATACATAGTGTCTCTAATCTATATATGCATAAATGCACAGCCATTGAGCCTAAGGTTGGAATCTTAAAACGATCTATCTGGGCCCCACTGAACTTAATGGGGCTTACATCTGAGTAGAAAGGAAAAAAGGATTGTGTTGTCGAGGCACCAAGTAGTGCACAGACTATAATTTCTTATGCTACAACTCGTGAGGTTTATTTTGGTATAGATATCATAGGACAGGAATGCTTTTTGTACCAGATGCCCTCTGCTTTTAAATCAGGGGAGCTACTGCAGAGTAGATGAATGCAACATGCAGCAGGTACAATCATCAGTGTGGGAACAGGGGTATTGAAAATACACAAGGAATTCATATTTTTATCTGTGAAAGGTTGGGATGATATGCAATTCACAACCACCTTTTGTTCCTCTTGAGCCCTCCAGTCCAGAACTGTGTTGCTGAAGAGGTTTTACTACACTAAAGAGCACCTGGTTTTTAACAATTTGGGTGGATGAAAATCTTAACACTTTGACTTCATAGCCTTTGTTGAAGCCACCTTCTTCATTTTCATGATTTTTCAAATAGGTAATTTGAAAAAATAATTCCTTTGCAAACTACATTATAATGCAACAAGAGGATGCCTGCTTTGAACAAGGCAAATATAATTCTGTATCTGTTGGTCAACAGTTATGTCCCAAACCCATCTTCTATTCCCCGACAACCCCTTTATCCTTCCCTCCTGCTATCAAGTATCAAGTACCAACTTGACCTCCTTCCTCTGTCCCTTTAGTTTACCACTAAACATGTATATTGTTAATAAAATTCACAGAGTGGCTAGAATAAGACCAGACCTTTTACCATCCTGCCAGAGGTTTATAGCCTTTGTGCACTCCTTCAGTGGAGAGGAATGAAAAGGGATCATGACACATTTTTAATACTTTAGGTAGGAGAGAAATAGGAGTCGGCGAACTTTCTCCACAGAATGAACTTGAATAATCTTATCTGCAGTATTAGAGCCTTGAAACAATTTTGCATTCATGTGCATTTTTAGAATGCTGCTGCCTGGCACATAACTTGGTACACCCCTAGATTTGAGGGTCTTTCTCTCCATCCTTCAAACACATCAGTTTTGTGAACTGGTACCTGCATAAGCCATTGAGTAATGAAACTGAACAATGACTTGTGGATGGAAGACTAGCTCCAGCGATCACTATGTAAACACAATGAAGCGAAGAGAAAAAGTGTTCCCTGAACTTCCACTTAGAACAGTATTAATTTGCAACAGTACCAGGGAAATACTTTTCACAAGCAATTGCAACCTAGTTTATACAGCTAAACAGTTTATCAATGCCAGTGGCAAAATAAGAATGTGCAATTACTTTCGCTGCACTACTTCATCTGCATGGCATGCATATGAGACAAACATCTTTAAGGACTTTGTAGTAAGTTACTAAACTCACGTTCTGATTAGCCTAATTCACTAAGGCCATTTCGAACTAAGTGTGTGTGCCTTTACCTTTAAATTATCATTTATACAACATGTAGACCAGCAAATTGCAAAATTCAGCTCATGCTGATGTAGTCCTAGATATGATCTTACCATATCTTCAAGACGATCAATCTGATATTAACAGTTGGGGTGCTTTTACTGACATTTTTACTGTATAAGGCTGTGTTACCTTTCAGTTTTTGCCAAGTCTGCAGATACTTAATGCAAAAATCTACCATTCATTGGTAACAGTTACTACAATATTCACCCATTGATCTTGAAATGAGGCCACATCAAAGTTGGCTCAGATATACAACCTGATCCAGCTCCTGTTGTTCATAATTATTTGCAGTTACTTGTGGCAAACTATGGATGTGCCTAATGCACACACAGTTGACAGGTGTGAAAAAGTGTCTGCATGCTGATTCAAATGTGTATCCAACTGACACCCATGACCATGTATCCACGTGCAATAAGTTATTGATCTGTACTGCTTCACTCTTAATCAGATGTGCATTTCTGATATGCACCCACATTCTAGCACAAATAGCCATGTGCACAAGACAAAAATATTTTATCCAACTACTTGAGCCAAGGCAGTTGCATGGTTTTCAGGTTTTCTTCAGGCAAGAATAAAAGAAGTTTTCTTTACAAAATTTCACTTATCTCCTACATTCTTATTGGAAGTGTTCTAATAGGACAGGGTATTTTGCATGCTATAATGCACTCTGTGCCAGAGCGGGGAGAGGAATGGGGTGGAGGCATCTAAATCCTATGTCAAGGAACAGTGGTTTTTCCAACCTGCATAAATTATGAAACTTCCATTATAATACATTCTGATTCGTTTAATAATTGAGAAGAAAAATCCCACATTCTCATCACATTCTGAGCTATTGTCTGGTTTTGTAATGATGACAAAAAACTTAAGAAATAAAAAGGAAAGCTGACATTACCAAAATGTTGAATTTTGTGCCCAATTCAGTACACTGAACTGCATGAACATGAAATCACACAACCATGGCAAGAAGTACTGACATACAAATGCAAAATCCACCGTGATGTGAAACTTCCTCTGTTCTTATGTCTGCTTAGTTTCATTTGTTGCATCATTAACAGTAAGCAATTTTAAGAACTGTATGCTAAAGCAACCACACAGATATAAAACGTATGCGACAGAAAGAAGGCACACAACACATATTTTAAGTTTTCTTTATAGTCCATTGAAAAAATTATAGCCATTCTATAAAGCTGGTTTTTCAAGGAAAGTAATGTTTCAAGTGGCCTATAAACTCAACATTAAGATGTGTGAAGAAACCATTTGGAGGTTTATAGATTAAAAGTTCATACACTTCCGATCTCTAACCTATGTTTGTCTTATTTGCAAAAACCCCAATCTACAAAAACAGAGTCAATGAAGAATGTTGGGGATATGAAATGTCAAAATGTAACACTTCATTATGAATATAAACTCATGAAACCTTGCCAGAGATTCACCTATATGGATTTAGAATGCTATCAATAAATATAAACAAAAGGCTTTGTGATTCATTGATTTGGCAGCTTCCAGGCAACTACATATCCGTGATTCAGTCTATACTTACAATTCAAACTGCAGGGCAAAAACTAAGATACACAGGAGAAAAGGCTGTGAGTTCTAATATAGAACTTACACAAAATACCTTTCAATACCAATTATATTATTAACAATGGCAGAAAACTCAAGTTTTATAGAAAAAAAATGACACTTCAAACAGATGTTGTGTCTCAACTTATTTTTCCAAGGTGGCAGGAACCCCTTTCATTACATGTGTCAATACACTGACACACTCAGTATAAACTGTGCAAGACTGTGCAGCAAAATTTACAGAATTCTACTAGTTCTTACGTAGACCTATTTACAGATATTTGGAATAAGCATCTTCCTTTTAAGCTTTATACATACGTTCATACTTGGAATCTTCAATCAATTCTGTAAGTATAAGCAAGCATTTCTTAAATATACATTTTGAACCATTAAAGTATTGCATATTTCAACCACACACACCATGAATATACATAGGGAATATCAGGTTGCTTATTAGTGGTCAGTCACTAAATGTTGATATGCAACAAAAAATAAAGGGAAAATGTCCACAAACTCCTTATTGCTGGTTAGTTTTGAGTTTTCATTGTTCCTAGGAGTTAAGAAACTCCAACTGAGGTGTTACCCATTAATAACATTTATGGGGTGTGAATGTTCTTGCACACAAAACAAAAACCCGCAACTATGAAGTCTCAGAGAACTTTAACAGAAGCAACTTCTTTCACAGATACCAGCCCATCCTCCATATTCAAATAAATTGGCTTTGGATTATGCTGAATTTTTGGTCAACACAATTATGATCCTGCTATCTCCAGCATTCCTAAAAAATTGACTGGGTCAGCTGATGCCATTTATTTGGGAAACCTCCTACTTGTACTTTATCCTTTCAGAGGATCGTGTTGCAGTACAACCCATTCTGGCTCAAGAGAGGATACTTGACCACATGGACACATTCTAGATCAATACAACACTGGATAATTCAAAGCAAGTTTCCTCCCGCTTTATGAAGGGAAGGCTTTTCCAGACTGAAATGCCACGACTGGGCTCAGTATCTGAACATCAGTTCAAGGACTGGGAACATATGGCCCCAGGCTCCCTCAAAACAAACAGCAGATTGCATTTGTTTCCCCATCATTCCAGGCTCCAGAAGGCGTTGGCTGGAATCAGTGAAGTGATACTTAAATGGACCAGATGCAGCCTGGATGCTGTCTGCATCCGGACACTGAGCTGGATTCCTAATGTGCTTGCAGCCCTTTCTAGAGAAGTTGTGTCCTTTTTATATAAAGGCACTCTATGTAACACCTCATTTGTCAAAGAAAGAAACGGCATACATGGTTGGAAAGCCTTGAACTGATTTGTTAAGTTCTCCAATGCTAACCTGTTATTTCACATGTAGATGAGCTTTTCCAATTTGAAAGTTAACTCGGCAAACTAATATAGGAAGGGCTATTTTTCTTGTGATGGTTACAACATCCAAATATTGCTGGATTAGTTCCAAACTTCACTTTTTAAGGGGCAAGGAGAAAGACACACAAAGCAACTTACAAGCAATTGAAAATGAACAAACAAACAACTTTTTACAAAAGGCCTCTTTGCGGTATATTATATAAACTCAGGGTTTTCCCCCCCTTTCTCCTTAAAGTGCTTCTATCACTGCCATCCTTGGACCCAGAATTCTCTATTGCTTTAGCAGGTCTTTTAGTACTGCCCCAGCACTAGCATCAGGCGCTACTGGCAAAGGTGTGAAAGTAGGCAAAGCATCAGAAATGGGTTTCATAAGCAGGTGCCCTGATCCGCCAGTTCCAAGATTCGTTGGGGTGATGAGAGGGACTGCTGCTGACCGGGGTGCAAGGAATGGATTTGCATCTGGTCTTCTGGTGGTTCCTGAGCCTGTTGGATCTGACAGAAAGTGCAGTAGTAAAATTATTATTATTATTAGTAGTAGTAGTATTTAAAAAATCATTCTTACAGGAATGTCATGGCCTAACAAGTGTCGTTCTTAGAAAAACACCCTAACATAATGAGACCGTACCCCCATCCATCTACAGGTGCAGGTCATCCACCTGAGTGACCAAGGCAGTGTTCCAATCCCAAAAGTAGATCTGAGAAAACCTAATGCGTTGTTTCCCCCTTCCCTCTTTCCAGGGCCCTCTCACCACAGCCTCTTTCAAAGCCAGGAGTACCACTTCTTTCCCCAAGGGGAACCGATTACTGCCGCCACCCAACAAGCTATTAGTTACAGCCAAAGGCTATCATCGTTCCTATGCACTTAGAACACCGCAGACACACCCTTGTGAAAATCATGCAAATAGTAAGCGCGATGGTCTCTGGAAAAGCAACCCCCACCAAAAGATAAATACATTATCAGTTGTGTAGTGAATAATCAGATCAGTGTGGCAAGATTCTGCACACACAAAGATTTCCACCTGGAGAATTCACAACGCAGTTGCAAGACCATTTTGTGTGAATGAGACCTTGTAAAGATTTAACTACAAGCCTGTGAACAGAAATGTAGTTTTTCTTCTAAAAGAAGAAGAAGAAGAAAGTCTGTCAGGAGTTAACGTCAAGGTCACGGATAAATCTTTTGCTCACGGAGTGAAACCTTGAAAGAATGTATTTATGTCTGATAACCTATTCTTAATATATAAAAGAAATCTTAAAAACCCAAACAATTCAGGGATATAGAATGGGTGTCTGGTTCTATAGGACAATAATCCTGTTCCTGTGTGGACAAAGTCCCTGTGAACATTTCGTCCAGACAAGAAAACTGGGTGACTGCCAAACCAAATATGGCACCTTCAAGCAACGAGGACAAAAGGCATATAAAACATAAATTTATTTAAAAATGTAAACTTTCAAAGATAAGCTTTCAGACTGGAAATTCTCCAGCTTTACTGCAACAATTTGAAACCAAACATTCACAACGACTAAAGTTTAGTTTCAAAGTTATATCAAAAACCATATTCTGCAAGGCCTATTTAACTCATCCACCAGCATTATATAGTATTTATTTGTTGCTACATTGCAACCTGGAAATCCAGGTTAAAATTCATGGCCTTGAAGTAAAAAAATGATAAGAGAACAGTGGCTTTCAGGTCACACAATGGTTATCGCCTTGCTGTCCCCAGCTGTAACTTGGCAAGGAGAAAATTCTTCTAATTTTATTTGTCATCCTCCTTACACTGCGCATCCAAATAAATATAAACTTGGAAAGACAACAATCAACAAGTCATCACTCAGATTCAACGTAACATTTTGTGTATTAGGAATATAAAAATACACTACCTGCAATGTTGCTAGAAGGACTAACAGTGGCTTTGCTGATTCCTGTTGATGCTAAAGGTTTCATGTCATGAACAGAGAGTTTTGGTGGGGGAAGAGTTGGACGGGATTCAGTTTCAAGGAACTTCACAAATAGCTCTGAGAAAGACTGAACGGGTGGAGACAAATTAACCCAATATAAACAACATTTATGGAAATACATGATATATACCTGGCTCATCTGTTCAAGATGGCGCACAACTATCCTAGTAGCAATATGGTTCTAATTTTAACACAATCGAGTTATTTGACACTGGTTTTAAACTGCAAACACCTTCAAGCCTTCTGCAAGTGTAACAATGACCTAGGTTAACAGCAGTTATAATATGGAAGTCCTGCATTTTCTATACAAACGCAGACAATGGAAAATACTTACACTGTTGAAAATTGAGTGATGGGTTGGTCTCAGAGGTGTGTTGGGGACACTCTTTGATCCAGCACCTCCTCCACCAAACCACCCAGTCACCCATCGAGTAACACCTTTTTGATCTTCTGACAGCAACTAGAGAGCAAATTAAAACAAAAAGAAAAGGTTACAATCCACACCTACTTCTAACACTTAGTATCAAACAGAATCTTTACTTCAATTTTATTAATGAACAAACCAACCAAAGTTTGTTTATAAAATTTACTTGTGTAAAAATTTCAGCCAGAACAAAAACTATATACACCGAGAAAGCTAGTTTCAAACAGACAATATGGACACGTATGTAAGAATTTAAGCCACACCATCAACATCAACAGATGTAGTCCTTTGGTGAATATTTGCGTGTTTGAATGGATTTTATATTATTAAAATAATGGTAAACATTGTAACATGTTTGGAAAATATACAACTTGTTCCATTCCAGAATGATAGATGACTGGTTGTCCTTGGGGCCTAGCCCAGCAAACGAAGAAAGCATGCTAGTGTATTGATATTGCAGGAGAGTAGGAAAATAGCAATGAGACATATCAGAACTACCTGTTCTAATTCTTCCTTTTTTATTCCCAGGATACTTCCCATCAGCCTTAGCACTTCATGACGTTTATTCTTTGGGGTGTGGAAATGTCCAACGAAGAGATTCCTCATCAAGACTCTACCAAAGGGGACACAAAAGCAGTCAAAATATTGCTTGGCATTGCTAGTAACAGAGAAAAGTGAGGGTGGAGCACCTTTTGCACTCCAAAGCTTTGCTTATGGCACACTATCATCCTGATGATTCATCTGTACAAAGACCATGAGGGGAGCCCAGTTGAAGAACCATCTCAGCCCCAGTGACAAAGGAAAAGGTAAAGGCATAAAGCGGACAGGCAAGTTAAACACCTGTGTGAAAAGGTAAGTCAAGTTAAGCATGCGTGTGAGGAAAAGGTAAGTACTGCCCAGATATTTAATTCATTAATCATCAGCTGAAGTTGTAATGAGGCCATCTTGTGCTAGGAGCTAAATCCCAAGGGAATTTATGGGTCAGGAACCTTATGGGATATAGTTCCGTAGAAACAGTTTTCACAAACTGCGGTGGCAGGGAATCCTTGTGTGACTGTAGTAAACATCAGCCAGAAACCTAGATTAAAACCTTTATTTTGGAAAGGGGGTGAAAACTAATATATAGTCCTATGCTGACGCTATGGCACAAGGCTGAACTGAATATCTCTTTATTCTCAGGGGTGTACTTAGGGTTGGTTAGGTTGGCCCCCACCAAGGGTGCAGGCCAGGTGTGTGTGTGTGTGTGTGTGTGTGTGTGTGTGTGTGTGTGTATGCAAAATTCACGTCTCTCAACTCTGGTTCCGAGTGGCTAGGCGCCCACCCACCATCTGTGCCTTCCCAGGTCAATCCTCCGCTGCTCTGGGTGGCTGGACAAGGCATGCAGACTCCTCTGGGTGACTTGGTGGAGGACGTCGCAACAGCCCTGCAGGGGGCCCTCCCCAATTAGCCAGGTGTTGCTATTAGAAGTGTGAGTGGAGTGTTCAGAAGGGCTCAGAGGGAAGAAAGATGGAGAGAGCCAGGGAGAGTTGCAGGAGAAAGAAAAAGGGAGGGAGGGAGGGGAGGGGGCAGAAGGGAAAGCAGTGAGTAGAGGGAGGCAGGCAGGAACATGGGACTGACGAAGGAAGGAAGGGAGGTAGAGCACAGCAGACCCGACTCCAATGGCCACTGAGGCAATGTGTGAGAGGCAACAAAAAGCAAACTTTTTGAGTTTCTGGTTCATGGTCTCTCCCGGCTTCGGAAGCACTGATACAGCTCCTTGCCAATTGGGGACCTTTTTAAAAATAATCTGAATGATCTTTAATCAATTATTCAGTAATAAGTCAATTGAATGTCACAGCCTTAATAAAAAGGGAGTAACATTAAACTAACTTTTACTCACATTAGACCCATTAAACTTAATGAACTGAGCTTAGTCATGTTCATTAATTTCAGTGAGTCTACTCTAAGTAAAACTTAGTTGAATAACCACCCAGCCTGTTTTAAACCATATCAGATGCTGCCACAGCCATTATTTTACTGTGCAAAGCTTGTACTTCTCCAAATAACTTCAAATTAAAAACACTTAAAAATCACTCACTTGTCCACTTTTCCTTCTGTGCTGTTTATGAGGTTCATTAGCTTATTCTGTGCATCTTCTAACATTTCTTGTTTGAGTTCACCTACAGGGGGGAAAAACTTTTGCTATAATAATTTTATAAACAAAACTGATGTACTCATTAGGGGTCCTAGCAGAAGAGTTTCTCAAAAATATGTGCTGTGCAAATATGAGTTTAGCTTCCCTTTTATCCATTCTGCTGAAAAATCATGGGTCAAAACTCTATCCTATTTTTCCATCCTAAAATGGCAAAAACTGAGATTTTACAATGGATCATGTTCCCTAGCTTTTGCTGATACAATAAAAGCAAGGCAAGGATTATAATGATGCCTTTTTGCTTTTTACAGTTTGAAGCAATCTGTCCAAATTTCTACCCAATGAAAAGGATTGTAAATTGGCACAGAGCAAATACTACGTAAGAGTTGTTTCAGAGAAGGGCGATACATGTGGAAAAAGCTTTACTTTTCAATTTGTGTTAAAATACCTGTCACATTACCCTGACATAGGCTGTGTTCGCAAGTCACTTCAATTGATTTTAACTATGGCTTAATGCAAAACGAGCAGTGTGCTGGTACACACTACTCAAAAGCTTCTACTCTGTTGCTCCCTGGCTCTTGGCCATGCTAACAACAAACCAAGGTTTGGGAGTTGTTGCTCACAGGGCAGCATGGCCAGGAATGGGGAAAAGCAAAGCAGGAGTTCTGAACATCAGCATGTTGCTTGTCCATTTTAACCCACAGTTTGACACTCACTGTGATTTAATGCAACATGCGAACTGAGCCACTGAGTGGAAGAAGTCAGGGGCAGCAGGACAAATCTAAAACACATGGCTAAGGACACATTCCATGCAACCTTATTTTATTTATTTCACAAAATTTATACACTGTTCGATTTTTAGAAAAACAACAACCCTCAAAGCAGTTTACAGAGAGTGTTAAGTTAGATAAATCTGGGCTTAATAAACCAGTATATATTTGAGCTCCATGCACAGCCCCTATTCATACAAGCAAGGAAATAAGCCAGGAAGCCACAATTAACAATAGCTTCACATTAAGTCCAAACTGGGAACTATGGCTAATGGCGTCTAAACAAGCTAGTGTACAAAACCATGGTTTAAAATTGACTTCTGCAAATTGGTTTAACATAGCTCCCATATCGGACTGCATGAGAAGCTGCGGAGAACTGTAGCTTCCTGCCTAGCTTCCCTCTCACCCAACGGGACTGTGCGTGGGTGCACATAAATTTTGCATATCCTGGTTGAATAAGCTAGGATTTGATAATCCAAACAGCCATTGTGAGGACATGTTGAATTTTTGTTTAAATAGGTCTGGTGGACATTTACACCTATGATTCAAGATTCACCATTTGAGAAGATAAAAGATTATAAGGATCAACAACCATTTGGCAGTATTTAATAAACTCTTTGGGCAACTATATAAGAATGAAGCTTTAAAATGAACTGAGTGGTGTCCCAACTAACTCACCCCAACAACTTCTGCTTGCGCAATGGAACTCCCCCACCTCCACATGCAACCTGTATCTTCCCCAAACCAGCTCTGGAGGGTTGTGAGAAACCCCAGAACAGTTTTAGGGAGGATGCAGGGGAAGTTCAGTTACACAAGTGGAAATTCTTATGCTGATGGAATGAGTTACTTGGATACTACCCACCGGATGTGCAATTAAAGAATAAAAAAACAGGCAAGGACAATTTTAGCTAATGTTAGGATAGTCAGATGGAAATGAAGTATTCAATCACCCCTCTGTCTTTTCTTTGATATAAATAAAACTACAAAAGTAAAATCAGACTAGGACTGCGGAGATTCAAGTTTAAATCTGTATTTGGCTATGAAGACCTCACTGAATGACCTGGGACCACCTTCTATCTTTCAGCCCAACCTACATCACAGGGATGCTGCGACGATAAAAGGAGGTGGGAGAATCATGCCCAGTACCTCAAGCTGTTTGGAAGTAAGGATGAATATAAATGAAACAAAAGAAAAAGAAAAAGATGCATTGATAAATTATTGCTTTTATAGATGATATAATACAGTATTCAGTTTGATATTATACATCTACGATTAATTGCTAGGCTGAATCCCCGCCTTAGCTGTGAAATCCAAGCACCTTTTCTCCACTACTGGCTATTTTTGCCATAATATCGGTTTCTGAATATAATATGATGCAGGACAGAATAGAGCCAACATTCAGCATGGGCTTCTGTAGACGAGATATTTACAGTGTTCTCCTGTAATCTGTTAACCATTTATGGAAATTCAAAAACCTGCATCTGGTCTTTCTTATGTTTTTCCATTAATATAATTTGTCCTGCCAAAACAATCCATTTAAAAAGCCTTCAGCAGCTTGGGCCAACAAATCTGTGTCTGGGAATGTATCTGGCCACTGTTCAACAGGACATTATATGTTTTCTTGTATAAATAAGATCTTTTGAATTCAGTCTCCTTTTTTTTTTATACTAGCATTCGTCATGTCTGATGGTTGGGGGGAGGGAAGGAGAGCTCCAATCCCATCCCCAACCCAACTCAATACGCACCACCACCCTGAATTCATACTATTAGTGTGCATTAGAGCAGGGGTAGGCAGACTTTAGGCCTGTAAAATATCCTCTCTTGTTTTTAACAGAAACTCAAGATCTAGCAGGCAAAGCCAGGTATAAGAGACACAGAGTTAGAACAGAGTGCCCCCAAGAACATTCTGAGCAAAGAAATTTGTTTTCGGTACCCAGACTGAACTGTGCTCATAGTCCTTCCTTTCACATAAAAGTCTGCTCCTGGTTACCCCAAGTTTTCTTCATGTCAGCATCGCTATTTAAAGAGGGAAATGTGCCTGCTGTTCCCAACTGCTAAACAACTGAGAGTCAGAAATCCTTCCTAATCCATCAAATCACTCAGAAATATACCAAGAGATCCCGATCTGATTTGTTCTCCATCCTTCCTTCTGCAGACATTCTCTCTTGTCTGTATGACTCTCCTTGTGGCACAATTCCCAAAATGTTGACTATTACTGCTAAGCTAGCTACCCGGGAAAAATTCTTCAACCCTCCCCAATCCTTTCCCCCCTTCATTCCACAAAAGGTAAAGATGGTCTCAACCTGCAACTTCTACCTTGACAGCCATTAAAAAAAGAAAGAATGCTAGAGTGAAAAGTAAGAGATGCAGAATTCTTCTATCCCCAGCCCTCTCATCCATCTGAAGCCACTGCTACAAGCATAGTCCAACCTAGTTCTAGCTCCTGTTCAACTCAAACTGACCAAGAGTGCTAAGAAGGATAGAAGCGTCCAAATAAATAATGCTCTTCCCTTCTGGCAGATGGCAGCTGCTGACAGGCAGATTAGGAAGAGAATTTCCCCTTCCCCTATTGCTGTGCTGTCTTCTTCCATCATCACTGGGGTAGTTTTGCCCCTGCCCAATGCAGTGCTTTACTTTTCTCTGGAAGGAACAAATTTACAAAGAACGAAACATTTACTTATCTGGTATAAGGTCATGGCATACGCTCAAGTATGCCACTGGGTAACCTCAGATTCTTTGCCTCCCTTTAGACTGAAGACCTTTTACTTTCTTATAGAACACAGTAGCACCATGGAGAATCCTCAGTGCTTATCTGCATAACGCTTCCCAGTGTCCTATTTCTCATTCACATTAGGGTAGTGCAAGGTCTGACAAAAGAATGATAAAGATAGGAGATGCTGGGAACTAGTTATTATACACATAGTTATTCAGCCTCGAAGGTTAATGGGCGACACTCTTCTTGTGGCTTTTGAATTCTAAACTTAAATTAACAGGGGTCTCCTCCTACTATATGGGTACAGAACGGCACCTGGATATTGGACTGATCAAAAGATTTGGTTCATTGCTCAGGCAGATAATCGTGTTGTATGTTTAAAACTTTTAAGTTTATCAGCACAAAAGTGTTTTGGCTTCGCCCGACTCTCCATAATTTAATGACTTGCTTGGAGAAGGGCTTGGTGTATTTTAATTCAAACGATACTTTCAGTTCTTTCAAAAGCTACTCAATCTATTCCTTGCAGATCCCTGCAGTAAGATGGAGTGATGTGTAGTACTAGGCAGCAACTTTGACCATGGGTGACTCTTTGGGTTCCTGTTGGAAGATGCCTCCTGGTATATAGCAAATGGATCATAGGAACTGTTTTGTCAGTATTTGCCCCCAGTTGCTGCAGGGCTAGGGCACAATCTTCATTCCTGCCCTTGTTAACAAATGGCATCATAATGGTATAAAAAAGCTGCTACCGACAAAGTTATTTCACTGAATATTTGACCAGCCAGCCAATTTAGTTCACTATCTGATTACAGCAAGAAGTTGTGTCTGCCAATTGCAACAGGGCATTTCAAAAGGTAAAAAGGGGGAATAAACATGGAGCACTTTGATATTTGGTTGCAGGGTGCAGTGTGTGCTTTACGTGACATTATCCTACTTCAGCTATAAAAATCCAGACTGCAGTCACACAGCTGGAATTTAGGGCAATGTTTATATAATCAAGGGGTAAATATAATAGTTTTATTGCAATGTGGCTGCTGATTTGCCATGGCCAAATTTCTTTACACCCTCAATAGATGAGGAAGGTAAAGTCTTTTAGTCTGTTAAAAAACAACAACTTCAAACATAAGAGGAATCCTCTAAGAGCTTTTATATCTTTTGAGATTCCTTGCCTAACTGGGAAGCATGATTTTAAAAAGTCTTTAAAAATTACAGTTACATTTTTCTCCCAGGCCCCCCCCCCACAACAAAGAACAAAGAAAACAACCAGACAATGCAGCAGAGAGAAGACTGGTGTGACCTGGAGGATATTCTCTCCTGAAGACATTCCAAATTCAGCATCTCAACCATCTCAACACTGATTAAAAATATAAAATTTGGAGCATCTGCAAAGGTCATCAGCCCTGAGCCATCGAGAATAACGTAGACGCGGGTGGCGCTGTTGGTTAAACCACAGAGTCTAGGACTTGCCGATCAGAAGGTCGGCGGTTCGAATCCCTGTGATGGGCTGAGCTCCCGTTGTTCGGTCCCTGCTCTTGCCTACCTAGCAGTTTGAAAGCACGTCAAAGTGCAAGTAGATAAATAGGTACCGCTCCGGCGGGAAGGTAAATGGCGTTTCCGTGCGCTGCTCTGGTTCGCCAGAAGCGGCTTAGTCATGCTGGCCACGTGACCCGAAAGCTGTATGCCGACTCCCTTGGCCAATAAAGCAAGATGAGCACCGCAACCCCAGAGTCGGTCACGACTGGACCTAATGGTCAGGGGACCCTTTACCTTTAAAACTGAAACGAAGATCAATTGCTTAACACTCTCACCCAGCTTAACAGATACTGTTAGCAGCAGCATTTTTGCACAGCCTTGCTCACAGGACTGATGTGATTTGCATGGGGACTACCTTGCGTGAACCAGTCTCCAGAAATGTGCACAAGTGCTGCTACCCTTAGATCATGCCTTCTTACTCAGAGACATTCAAAAGAGCAGGCCACAGGGACGTGACAGAACTCCAAGCACTATTTTTGCAAATCCGATGGTTAATGGAGCATCACGTTAAAAGAAAAAGGTAACTCCCCATAACATGAAAGCATCAAAGGCCAGAAGGGAGACACAATTGTAGATTTGCATGATGAAGGATCCATAGGGTTTGGCAGTATGTTTGGATTGGCTGATTATATTCTCCAGCACCTATTATGAGAAGGGTCTATTCAGGCACGACTAAGTTACAAATAATTTTCCCACAAAAAGAGCCTTAATTATGTTTTGCTAAAAAAGAAGTCCCTATTAATACCATTGGCCTGTCCTATCAAGAAACCATTAATCTTAAACTGGCTTATATTTCATTTCAAATTCTGTCACAAGGCAAAAACAATTACCGCTTTCTTTGTTAAAAAAGAAAGAAAAAAGGTTTCTCCTGGCAAATCCTTCTACTGTCTGGCCAAGTTGAGTGTTAAAGAAAATACATTACAAAAACATTTAATCAAAACTTTGGCGTTCTTACCACCCCACCCCCCCAGCCAAGGAAGCTTACATTGTAAGCAAACCCAACATGAGATTCTGTAGATTGGATTTATGCGTACAAGGCACAGCAGGGAAGGAGGGCACCTTAATTTTACAATTTACATTATTGTTGGCACGTGAGTGAATTTGTAAGCAAATCAGAGACTCTAATTGTTTTTGGAAAAGCGAATTCATGAGCCCTCTCCAGGGAAAAACAGCATTTAACTTCACTGTGGCTCCACACTACTTAGTAACATAGCACACACATACACACGACTAAACAACCAAACAACAACCAAACAAACAAACATATATAGCTTATATGCCAAAAGAGCTTCTGTTGTTGTTGTTTAGTTGTGTCCGACTCTTTGTGACCCCATGGGCCAGAGCACGCCAGGCACTACTGTCTTCCACTGCCTCCTGCAGTTTGGTCAAACTCATGTTGGTAGCTTCAAGAGCACTGTCCAACCATCTCGTCCTCTGTCGTCCCCTTCTCCTTGTGCCCCCAATCTTTCCCAACATCAGGGTCTTTTCCAGGGAGTCTTCTCTTCTCATGAGGTGGCCAAAGTATTGGAGCCTCAGCTTCACGATCTGTCCTTCCAGTGAGCACTCAGGGCTGATTTCCTTCAGAATGGATAGGTTTGATCTTCTTGCAGTCCATGATTCAAAAGCATCAATTCTTCGGCGATCAGCCTTCTTTATGGTCCAGTTCTCACTTCCATACATCACTACTGGGAAAACCATGGCTTTAACTATTCAGACCTTTGTCGGCAAGGTGATGTCTCTGCATTTTAAGATGCTGTCTAGGTTTGTCATTGCTTTTCTCCCAAGAAGCAGGTGTCTTTTAATTTCGTGGCTGCTGTCACCATCTGCAGTGATCATGGAGCCCAAGAAAGTAAAATCTCTCACTGCTTCCATTTCTTTCCCTTCTATTTGCCAGGAGGTGATGGAACCAGTGGCCATGATCTTCGGGTTTTTTGATGTTGAGCTTCAGACCATATTTTGCGCTCTCCTCTTTCACCCTCATTAAAAGATTCTTTAATTCCTCCTCACTTTCTGCCATCAAGGTTGTGTCATCTGCATATGTGAGGTTTTTGATATTTCTTCCGGCAATCTTAATTCTGGCTTGGGATTCATCCAGCCCAGCCTTTCGCATGATGAATTCTGCATAAATGTTAAATAAGCAGGGAGACAATAAACAGCCTTGTCGTACTCCTTTTCCAATTTTGAACCAATCCGTTGTTCCATATCCAGTTCTAACTGTAGCTTCTTGTCCCACATAGAGATTTCTCAGGAGACAGATGAGGTGATCAGGCACTCCCATTTCTTTAAGAACTTGCCATAGTTTGCTGTGGTCGACACAGTCAAAGGCTTTTGCATAGTCAGAAGCAGAAGTAGATGTTTTTCTGGAACTCTCTAGCTTTCTCCATAATCCAGCGCATATTTGCAATTTGGTCTCTGGTTCCTCTGCCCCTTCGAAATCCAGCTTGCACTTCTGGGAGTTCTCGGTCCACATACTGCTTAAGCCTTCCTTGTAGAATTTTAAGCATAACCTTGCTAGCGTGTGAAATGAGTGCAATTGTGCGGTAGTTGGAGCATTCTTTGGCACTGCCCTTCTTTGGCAAGGCAGTGAACCATTAAATGGCTTCTACACTAGGCTTTAAGATGTTGAAAACATTTTTGTGCATATTAGCTCAGTAATATTTGCAACTCTGTAAGGTAGGCCATTTATTATTCTCCCCATATATCTCCTATTTCGGTTCTGCACATAGTTCGTTCAAAAAAAGGCCCATGATATTCCACTGCTGTTTGGCCAAGACAAGTATGACATCTCTGGAATATAGTCCACTGTTGTTATCAGGGACTGCACATGTTCAAGTGAATATAGCTAAGGAAATATATAATAATGATTTATTATTTATACCCTGCCCATCCAGGGAAACTGGAAAATGAGAGCCAAACCAGAGACCGCAAATCAGGTGACGTCGTGGCAGGTCGTCAGTCTCTTTTCTCTGCTCACACACACAACACAGCAGTTGAATACCCCAAGGCAGCAGTTCACCATCCCTTCTCTACAACTGCACATTGCTCCAGTATGCTCATTCTGACAATGGCACTTTTTTCTCTCTGGGAATGTTGGTTCCATTGGGGAACCTTCCACCTTCCAGGCAGGTAACAGTTGAACCACTTACAATTTAGTTAAATGACTGATTTAAAAGTGAGAACTTTGAAATCTCTTAACATGGGGAATATAGGATAATATAGATCCAAAGCTTTCTGTGATTGGAAAGGCACTTCCTTTGTGCAGTGTTCTCCATGCTGCCTACCATTCCAACTCCTGGGGTCTCAATACCATGTCATTTCAGAGGCACCCTTGGCCGGCACACGCAGACTTCCAGGGGGCACAGGAGGCTGCAGTGGAAGAGGACTCAGAAAGCCTGTTGCATGACTGGAATTCCACTGGAGTTTTCCTAGACTGAATCACCAAACTAGCTAAAAGTTCACCCTTGCAATATCGTTGAATTTCTGGCAAACCTTTCTGTTGAGTAGTTCAGAGTAAGATTTATGTTCGGGCGCACACAAAAATGGCTACATTATATGTATATGTATATAGTAACAGGTAGGTCTGCCATAGTCGAAACAAAATAAAAAAATTCCTTCCAGTAGCACCTTAGAGACCAACTAAGTTTGTTATTGGTATGAGCTTTCGTGCGCATGCACACTTCTTCAGATACCTAATATGAAGAAGTGTGCATGAACACAAAAGCTCATACCAATAACAAACAGAGTTGGTCTCTAAGGTGCTACTGGAAGGATTTTTTTATTATTATGTATATCTATATGATATAGAGCTGCATTTGGAACTCCAACCGCTGGGTAAACCTACTCAATCTGGCTTCTGTTGTCCCCAGTCCCCCACCATCTAGTACACCACCAAAATTTGATCTACTTTTGCCTAGCTTGTATTTGTTCTTTCTCCCACTTGCCCAGGAACCTGTGTGTTTTACCTTACGATGGAGAGAGACCCGGTAAGCAGCTGGCTTTAGTATCTCCAGAGATGCAGAATAAAAACTGGTGAGGAGGGTGTGTGTGAAACCACTTGTCTGCATTTGGCCAAAATCTAAGGGCTGCATCCAATGCTGCTCCAGTGGGGTTCCATTGGTACAACAAGATTGACATTTCCTTTCCTCCCACCCTGAATCTGCTCCAGAAGGTCCCCTAACCCTCTAGAGTTGATTTTGAGGGTGCAAGGGAGGTTGAAGGGGACAAAAGATGAAGAAGCTCCATTGCAAGCAGCACAGTCCAATGCACCGGTGGAGCTGCAGTGTTAATGGAATGTGAGAGAAGGAAGCAGACATTCAAATGAGGCTCTGTTGGGGCTATGCAGGCTTCAGTTTTCACCAAGGCCTCCTGTTTGCAATCTAGTCTGATGAAGAATTTTGGAGGTCTCGAAAGCTTGCACACTGTTTTGTGACATTTTTGTCAGCTTAGTAAAAGGCACTGCCACCAAAATGGATTTTATAATTTTTTCTTATAGGCCAACACAGATATCTTCCGGTTTTGGTGCATTACTACCAAGTTCTGTTACCTTGTTTTTTAAGGTCCTCAATTTGATCCTCTTTAAGATCCAGCTGCTCTGCTAGCCTTGATGCAGATTCTAGTGCTGCGTTTGCTTCCTCCAGGTTTTCCTGTAAGATGAGGTAGATCATCCATATCAACCATATACTGCGATAACTATGCTATCAATACAGCACAACAGTTTAAAATCAGGCTAGCCAAATGAATTAAACACATACATACCAGTATAACTTAGGTCAAAAGTTTCCTTCAAGCATTATATTCCTTGAGCGATGCCACCAAAATGGGTGAATTCTTACCATATGTGATTAATAGAGCTGAACGTAGTTTCTGGCATTTTACTAAGGACTCTGGGTCTTGTATTCTACACCTGCTGAGACGGCCTTAAATAGTTCACTTCACCTCACTGCATGGCAGGGCTGACCCTTGATTTATATAAAACTGTGACTGCAGTTTGATTTACTACAGGTCTACCACCTATTTGCAAACTCTCAAGGCATACACCTTTCCAAAAATCATGTTTCTCGCCTATGGGAAAAATTTTGGATGGTCCTGGCTTGCAGAAAATATTTAACGACATGATCAGGCAGATTCTATTCCTCTCTGAAATCCTTTCCCCCAATATTTCCTCATACCTTTCTATAGCAATAATCTAGTATCTTATTTCTGCTGCCTCCCACCCTTTCCCATCTGTCCGCTGCTGCTGTGGTTGTTTGCCATGCCAGTTAAAAGAAATGAGGCTGCATTATAGAACCATTTCAACATTACCTGCAACGAAACTACTTTATCTTCTAGTTGCTCTACTTTTTTCTTCCATTCTTCAGTCTGCCTTTGGTGTTTCTGTAGCTCGGCTGAATACATAGCTTTCTCTTCTAAAAATAAAATATGTACACTTTTACTTTTATATATATATTTATATGTGTGTGTGTGTTAAAAAAAAAAGAAACCTAATTATGAAGAGCAGATATCTGGGAGAATAGCTCAGTTTTATCACCAAAATACTATTAAGTATATTTTGTAAATAAGCTAGTATGAATGCACTCTTATTTCTGGAGGAGTTAACTTACCTTGCTGAAACTGCTCTAGCACCATCTGCAGGTTGGCCAGGGACACAGCATACTGTTTCACTTGGTCCTGGGAAATTGTTAGCTGCATGACAGTTTCATCTCTCTGCCTGGTAACAAAGTTCAGCTGTTCTTGCAAGGATTCCACCTGCATGCTAGCCTGGTGGCTTGAAGTAAAATATTTAAAATCAACCAGGTTATTTTAAAAACACACACCCAAAAACCTTAACTTCTGCTGCCCCTGGATCTTTCAAGGGGTCTGGATATTTGGCAGTTGTCACCTCAGCTTCAAAATATAAACATGAAATCAGTTCCTGCAGATATTCTTTGCAGGAAGAAGATTTTATACCTTTCTTCTTTCTTTCAAAAAAGGTTTAAAAAAGTTAATCAAATTTTGTTGTTAAACTACTCTCTTCTGGAAGCAATTCTAGTTATATATATGGTATTTCATTCTCCTCAGACTTAATATAACCCAGGGGGAAAGAGGGATTAAAGTGACATCACTCAACAGAAATGCCAGTTTTTATAGTCAGATATTAAATGAATTATACGAGATACTAAGTTGGGCTCTAAAGAAGAAAGTGTATTGTCATTTAGATGTTTTTCCTTTTTTTGGATTGTTTTGATTGCATACTTTATGGAAAATACAAATAAAGGTACAAAAATTTTCAAGGGCCAGGGAGAATGGAAGTGCTTCCCCACTTGTATGTTTCTGCCATTTGAATGAGGAAGTTGAGAAGTCCGTAACAGCTCAGCTGCATCAAACCAAAGAGGGTCATTAAAGGCTAGCATCCTGCCTCTTTCAGTGGCCAGCTGAGAACTTCCAGGTATGGGGACAACGGTCCTCTCTTCCTATTGCTCCTCAACAACTGGCAGTCACATGCAATTCTCCTCTTAAGAAAGAGGTTCCACTTAGCTGCTTTTCAAATCATCTAGCCAGTGACCATCAGCGAGTACAGTGGTACCTCGGGTTACATACGCTTCAGGTTACATACGCTTCAGGTTACAGACTCCGCTAACCCAGAAATAGTACCTGGGGTTAAGAACTTTGCTTCAGGATGAGAACAGAAATCGTGCTTCGGCGGCACAGCGACAACGGGAGGCCCCATTAGCTAAAGTGGTGCTTCAGGTTAAGAACAGTTTCAAGTTAAGAAAGGACCTCCGGAACGAATTAAGTTCTTAACCAGAGGTACCACTGTATTCCATAAATGAGATCTGTTGCTTTCTTTGATCCATCCTGATCCATCAGCCAATCACTTTCATTGTCAGACCGCAAGTTCCAGTGTTATGAAGGAAAATCCTCTTTTGCTCTATTTTCTTGACACCATTTTATAAAACCTCTTTCATGTTCTCTGTCTAATCTGAAAGCCTCCAGCACTTAAAGCCTTTCTTGTGCTTTACCGCATGTATGGATCAAACAAGGCCCTTCAGCTCCCACCCTAAAGAATAAAACACCTCTCTCTACCATGCGTTAAGGTATGACTTATCCTATTATTGATGCTCCATCTAGTTCAGGGGTTGTCAACCTGGTCCCTACCGCCCACTAGCGGGAGTTTCAGGATTCTAGGTGGGTTCTAGGGCACAAGCTGAATCCTCCTTCCATCGAGCGCTGGTGGGCGGTAAGGAAATTTTACCATCAAGAAAGATGCATTAGTGGGCGGTAGGTATAAAAAGGCTGACTACCCCTGATCTAGTTGAAAATTTCAGGACTTTCACCCAACCCTGGTTCAAATTCCCTTGCAAACCATTCCCCCGCCCCCCTTTCAGGCATTAACCTAATTATAACTTATTCTGGGCAGGTTAAACAAGTGAAACCACCAGCACTCCCTTTTGCCTTTAGAGAAGGCAGGCAGGCAGGCAGGCAGAAAGGAGGGAACAATAAGAATGATAAAAATGTACGAGCGGGCCCTGTGTTACAGTTAAAAGTCTGAGCATGATGGCTGTAGTACACTGACACTTTAATTACTTTCTGAAAGAGAACAAAGGAAGAGACACAAGTGCCAGCAGGACTTCTGGACAAAACCATACAAGGGTGTTCTCACATCATCTCAATAAGATGTCTGGACAAAACATTTCAACAAAACTAGCTGCTGACTAGGATTCTGGGTACCGATAAGGCTAAAGGAAGCAAAGTTATTACCTGGCATTCTCCACTGCAGTTGATGAAAACTGCAGCTTTTCTTCCAAAACCTGGACTTTCTTTTTAAGCTTAGATTCCCGATCCTCAGCTGCTAAAGCTTCCCGTGTGGAAGTGTCTTCCCTTTCTAGAAGGTGGTTGCGCAATCTCTCCAATTCTTGATTCAGACGCTGCTCCTTATCACGTAAATGCTGTATCTGTGTAATTAATTGAGGGCACATTGCTTCAGCTTTTCTTATTCACCCTCAGCTACCCACTCTTCCATTCACTCAATTTTCATCCTTCGATGGTGCCACATGTTTCTACGGAGACTTTCCCTGGTGCCCAGAGTCCCCTGCCTCCCCACCCTCAAATAAGCCTGCAAGGAGCATTATATTGCAACCTACAGACCAGGCTGCTGTGTGTACTTGGATTAGGGGTGGGTGTGACATCCCTGAGAGTTTGTTCAGTTTGCAAATATGCCCCCAAGCCCCCAAAGGTTGGCAACTCTTGCATACCTCATTCTGTAGGGCACTAGTCTCCATCTGTTTCTGCTTCAGTGCTAACATGACTTTATCTCTCTCTTGCTGAAAAGCAACAGCCTTCTCCTGCATCGATTTTGCTTCATTTAACAGCTGGTTCAGCTCTCCTGCTTTCCCCTTCCAAAAATAAAAATAAAGAGAGGTTATTGCATTTTAAAGATCTATCTTCTTTTAATGTTAAAGGCGCAGCACTGTGCCAGGGGACTTGAAAGGATATAAATGTGGATGTACAGTAATAAATTTGAGAATTAAACTAAGGCTGGCAACCCCACAAATACTTATCTATGCACAAGCCCCTACTGAACACTGTTGACTTACATCTGAGTACACTTGCATAAGATTGCATTGCAAATCAGATGTTCACTAGAATTTGCATCTTCCTCATTTACAAACTTTACATTCTAAAATATATGGACATTTAAAAACTGATACTGGTCTTTTCCTCAGGAGACATGAACATGTTCCTTAGTTTTCAGCCTCTGCAAAAGTATAGACATTTCTCAAGCGAGAATGTCTAGAAACCTATTGACATCCTTCCTGGAATTCTGCATATGCAATTGGAACCCTGCGCCAGATAACAAAAATAAGCATTGCTTGACTTAATAGCAATCACACCTTTCTCCCATTGACCTTGAACAAAATAAGCAAAAATTCAACTCATCACGTACCTGCTCTTTCTCTTTCAACAGTTTTTCAAACGTAAAAGCCTTCTCCTTCATGGAACTAGACTCAAATTCCTTCTCCTTCAACATCATTGAGAACTGCAGGTTAGTCTCCTGTAGCGCTCTGAACTCGGTTTCTTTCTCCTTGCATTTTGCCACTATTCTATCATTTTCTTCTTTCAATTTACGGATGTCCATTTCTAAAATCAGAGTTCTCTCCTTTAGGTTAGTTATACCTTGCTTCAGCAGTTCATTTTCGTTCTCCTTATTACTAAGGTTTTCACTGAGAGAAAGCAACTGATCACTTTTTGATTTTATTAGCAGGTCTTTTTCCCTAAGTGACTTCTGCAGGACATCACACCTCTCCTTCAAGTGCTTTATCTCAAATTCAGACCCCTCTTGACCCTTTCTTTCCATCTCCGATGATGCAGCCATAGAATCCGACAGCCTCTGATTATTCTCCTGCAGAATTCGTATAGTTGAATCTTTTTCTTCTAGTGCTTTACTCATGCGCTCCAGTTCCTCATTTAGTGGTTTGGAGTCACTAGTAAACATCTGAGAAGCAGCACTGCTGGAAGTCTCCGATGACTGTGAAGCAGTGGTAGACTTTACTGGCAGAGGAGGTGTTACCATATCAAGTTTCCCCAGAATAAAATCCCTGGTGTTGTTCAGCTCTCCTATGCTATGCTGAACTTGTGCTAATTCTTGACTAAATGTTTTCAGCTTTCTCTCATTTTGTTCATAGCCTTGAATCAAGCCATTATACTCTATCTGCAGCTGAGAATTGTTCTCACTATCCATGGAGATCTGTGTTTGAAGCCTTTGCAGTTCTTCTTGGAGATGAGCAGACTCATGTTGCATATTTTGGACAGTGGTCATTACTTGTTTCTTCCACTCTTCCATTTTCTTCACTTGCTGTTTCAAATTATCACGTTCCTGTAAAAGCTCCTCGAACTGATTGCTGTTAATCCCTCCTAATTCATTGCCTCCATCCATGCTGGATGTCTGGAGGACGGTCAATAAAGTTTGGCATTTTTGACTTAAAGCATCAATCTCAATATCTTTCTCTCGAATTATCCGGGACAAGTTCTTAATAGTTTCTCGGGACATATCTTGGCTGCTGTTTTCAAATTCATTGGCTAGTTTTTGATTTTCTTCCTGAAGCTTTTTCAGAGCTGCTTCCTTAGCTGCTACAATGTCCATCATCTTGTGATATTCTGTTCTTAACTGACTGTTTTCCCTAGTCTTTTCACTAAGAACTGCCAGCACTTGCTCCCTTTCCATGGCATAGGCCTGTAATTGCTGCTGAAGGTAAATAATATCCTGCCCATAAGATGGAGCTGAAACCCTTGCATGGAGAGCTTGTATCTCTAAGTTTTTCTCTTGGATGATTTGCGTGAGCTTGCCAACTTCATCTTTGGATAGCTGATCAATTTGTCTACTTAGCAAGACATTCTTTTCATTCAGAAGTTTGATCTCCATTTCTCTCTCCTTGATGCCTTTCACCAGCCTTTCAATTTCAGCTTTAGATAAGTCATGCTTCTCATTTCCATTTTCACCATTAAATGTCTGCACTTTGGTTTCTTGAAACAGATCAGGAGGATCTGGCTGAATGACTGTTCTCTGATGATGCAACTGGTTTTTAATTTGTTCTATTGTCCGCTGCAAGCTTTTGATTTCCTCATCCTTTTCCAAGCACACCTGTTTGTGTGTGATGCTCATTTGTTCACACTGAAATTTGGACTCCTCAGTCTCCTTTTTATACTCCTGCAGGGAATGCTGAAGTTGGGCCATTTTCTGATTCTGATCCTCAACTGTTATTTTGTTAAGTTTTACCTCGTCTTCAAGATTATTTTTATGCACAGTTAATTGTGTTACTTCTGCTTCAAGTTCAGTGATAATATCTAGGGTTTTGGGCTCAGCCGAAGAGGACGACCTACTCTGCTGGTCTTTCACTCGTTCAATTTCTTCTTTCAAATGATTGTTCTCTTCTTTCATGGTTGAAAGGCTTTTCTCCTTTTCTTCTAAACTTTGTTTTAAAATGTCAAATCTTTTGGAGTCCTTAATATAATCTTCATGCTGCTGCTCTAGTTCAGAAGCCCTGGTTTTAAATTTTTCAACAAACACTTCTTTCTCTTTTATGAGCTCTGTCAGTTGTTTTTGCCCGGCTAAGCTAGTCGTTAACATCTCTTTGGTTTCCTCATGGTCAGCTTCCATCTGTTCAATGCTTCTCTTGAGTTCTGCTATCTCAAAGTCTCTCTCTTGGTTGAGTTTAACTAAGCGTTCGTGTTCAAACTGTAACACAGTGGTATTCATGTTACGTGAATTAGACAGCTCCTCAATGGTTTGCTCATATTTATGAGCCTGTTCCAACAATTGGCTTTCAGTTTGTCTTAGTTCATTTTCTAGCCGCCCTTTTTTCTAGTTTCAAAGCTTCCACCGTGGTATCTTTTTCAAAAGCGATCTTACTCTTCTCACTACTAGCATCCTGTAACTGCTGTTTCAGTTCTTCACAAGTCACCTGAAGCTTTTCCTTTTCCATCTGAAGCTTTGAAATACATTTCTCCAAGTCTGTATTTATTAGTTTATTTTCTGAAATTTGCTCATTCAGCTTTGAAATTTCCGCTTCCCTTTCTTTGGCTGATTGGACGTGAAAACCACTGTTAGATTCTGGACTTCCACTGTTAGATTCTGGACTTATCTTGCTTAACTTATTTTGGAGTACAGAAATTTCTTCTTCTCTTTGTGTTAGATTTTTCTTTAATTCCACTATTTCCTGCTTATTTTTGGAGCTACAGTGCTGGGATGTTTTTAGCTGTTCTTTTAGGTCTTTTATTTTGTTTTCCAGGTGTTGTTTAGTCATGTGCAAATCATTAAGTGCAAATGTACACTGATCCAATTTCTCTCTCTGGCCTTCTAGCTCCTTGCTCATTTCCAGCTTCTCAGCTTCTAGCTTCGATGTTTTTCTTTTTTCAGACTCTGTGTCCATTTTTAGCTGGTTGACAGTATTAGCGGTTTCTGCATTCTGCTTGGCTAGCTGCTCTTTTAAAATAATCATATGCTAAAATAAAAACACAAACAAATGTTAAAAAAGTAGAGAAAGCCCATACATGGTAAACAAACAGACCCGTAAAGCACCCTGAAGAGTGGAAAAATCACCATCATTTCATCATTAGTTTTTCAAAATACTAGAGAAATTATGTTACTGAATTAAACGTTAATGTCAACACTAGTTAGGGTTGTATTCAACTAACTTTTACTCAAGAGTAGATCCGCTGAAATGAATGAACCTAAGTCAGTCATGACCATTAATTTTAATGGGCCTACTCTGATCATGTTAACAGGAAATGTTAACATTTTGAATATATTCCATCCAACATTCTCTGAAAACCTGCATTGTTTCTCTTCACAACAAAGCAAATTCACTGACGAGTAATATTGATAAAAGTGATTCAGCCAATAGTTTTAGATTTCAGTACAGATAATAAATATCCTTACCCACCCAACCACTTTAGTTTATTCAATATATTACCTGGGTAGCTTCTTGGTTCTGCTTGTCCAATTCTTCTAGTTCTGCTATTAATGTTTCCTTTTCAGCAATACTTTCATTAAATTCATGTTCTTTCCTTTCCAAGTCTTGCCTTAACTGATTTAACTCTAAGTTCTGTCCTTGATTCGATACATATGCATCACTTTCACACGTTGGTTGTAAGCTTTCCAGTTTTGTTTGAAGCCCTTCCTTAATTTAGACAGAAAAAAGACCCTACATTTAATAGGATAAAATCAATTTGAGAATATTCATGAGTGTCAATCAGTTGGGTTTTTTGTCTTTTTTAAGAGGCTTTGAAATTATTTATGGAAAACACAAAATTCACTTTAATGACTGAAAGTACTAAATTAGCCAAATTAGCTATTCATTTGAAAAGAGAGGGCACCATTTCTGTTATTCCTGTCCAGTTTGTAACAGAAGCTTAGGAAACAACCTCATGCCTGGGCACAAATTTCATATTGCATAAACCACTTTTATAACAGTAAAGATTTAAGTGTATTTGCAATTCATACACAGCTTTAGGAAATAAACATATTTCTGAATTTATGGAATTGCAAAAATTACAACATTCTGGAAGCATGAGATGCCCCTTTTTAAGGGAAACAAACCTTAAATCAGGGAAGGCATGAACATAAATGCTTACTAACTTGCCTTGTCCGGTCAGTTTATTGTTTGGTAAGGTCTGAAGATACTGTGCTATTATACTCTCTCCATCAGTGTACCATTGAGGACATAGTATACTACTATGTGCTGACAGAGATGGGAGAAACTGCAGCAACCTCCTGGTATTCACATAAATTTGGGTTCACATTTATCTGTTTTTCAGTGGCATTAAAACAGAAGTGAACAACATGGGGCATGTGTGGCTGTTGGAGCACATTCATACTATGCAAGGTTATTTGTAAAACATGAGAATTTAGTAATTTGTTTACCTGATCTGATTTTTTTAGTCTTGTTATTTCATTTTCCGCATCTGTAAAAACAAAAACAAAAATAACAGGTATTATTTTTAGAGGAAGGTATACAAGAATATAAAGGCAACACCTAAGGTTATAACGGTAATTGCAAAGATACAATTTTGGAATTTTACATACTACCAAGTTAAAACAAAAAAAAAGCTAGCATTAAAAATAATTGTGTAATTACTGTTAATTTATTTTCTATCTCTCATCATTTCTGTGACAGCCACTCAGAAATAAGCTAGAAACCAAGGCAGCCAAATGAATTTCAGTATAACAACATACACATCTCTAATACAGTGGTACCTCGGGTTAAGTACTTAATTTGTTCCGGAGGTCCGTACTTAACCTGAAACTGTTGTTAACCTGAAGCACCACTTTAGCTAATGGGGCCTCCTGCTGCTGCCGTGCTGCCGGAGCATGATTTCTGTTCTTATCCTGAAGCAAAGTTCTTAACCTGAAGCACTATTTCTGGGTTAGCGGAGTCTGTAACCTGAAGCGTATGTAACCTGAAGCGTATGTAACCCGAGGTACCACCGTATGTATATTCTTAGAGGCATTCATTTTCATACACTTGGGCCAGGAACCAGACTCCTCAGCTTTCTTTCCCAGGCAGCAGCCTTATTCCTGAAGGTCGAGGGGAATTTTGGAGTAGCATTAAACAAGAAGACACTGCTGGAAGAGAAAATGGCCAAATCCCACCCCCATCCTCACATAAAGAAGCACTTTCTTCATATGTCTCTTTGAAGTGCATTTCAAGATTGTCCTAAAACTACATGCACATGATAATATTAGACACATTACAGTGGCTTCATACCAAGAAGTGCTTGCTGTAGTCGGAGCACTTCTGCTTCCAGCGATTCTACTGCAGACTTAGGGACTTCCACCTGTGCTTTTAAACCAGCCTGTTCTTCGAGAAGAGATGCCTGGAATTTATGGGAATCAGATTTGAGTCTTTCATATTCCTGCATTAGTTGACTCTTCTCCATTTTCACCAATTCAAGTTCTTTCAAGAGACTATTTTTCTCTTCCGCTGCTGCTGACAGTTGTTGACTTAAACTTTTGACTTTATCCTGCAAGTCCTTCAGCTGCGATGCTGTCGATTCAGCCACAATGTTCTGTGGGTCACAGTCAGAAGAAGGGTCAGCAGCTGCACCAACTATAAAGTAGAAAAAAATGCAACTGTAACATCTCCCAGAAATAGGGCATTTTCCCATAGCAGTCACAAGATTGGATTTTATTCTGATCCTGATCTGATTTGAGGATGTATTTTAATTGATCGTCTGATTTTATGTTAATGTATTATACATCTGATGTTAGCCGCTCTGAGCCCAGCTTTGGCTGGGGAGGGCGGGATATAAATAAATTTATTATTATTATTATTATTATTATTATTATTATTATTATTATTATTATTAAGTGCCAAAGAAATGTAATAATGGGTTGGGTCCAGAGTCAAAACATGCATAATGGGGCTGACAAAAGTCAACTTGTCTGCCTATCTTTTTTCTGCACATCCTTTATTATTTTATTCACATAATAGACATACTTTACAACAAAGAACTCCAAAGGAAACAGACAACTCCAAAATAAAATCATATGTAACAAAACCAATTAATTAAAAATTATTAAAGAGTGGGAATGCGTTAAGGAATACATAAAAAAGGCGGTGCTGGAGCTTAAAAATTAATATGCAAAAGTTTAAAAGGGCAAGGAGATAGTATAATAATATATTAAGGATGGAATAACAAATAAAGTGAATAACACAACAATAACAAAAATAATAGTAGGTAAAGAAGATCACACACAGGTGGAGGGAAGTACTGGGCAGTGGGTGAGGGAGGTGAAGGGATTAATTGAAATTGTTAAAGATTGGTATAGGATTTAAGAGATTTAAGTGCAGAATTGATATTATGTGGCACCTATAGCAGTACCAGCTCTACATATGGAAGCAGTCGAGTTAGTCCCAAGCTGTTGGCTTTATGTATGAATAGTAAAAATTGGCGCTGACGCTGACAGGCAAAGCATAAAACAATGACAAGGTTCTTATTAAATCACTTTTAAAAAGACTGAGAAGCTTCTGCTTTACCAACATGTTAGATCAAGTCCCTAAAGATGGCTGGAACAGGAATTTCCAGGATCTACTTCCAACGCCTTTGGAGCCTGCTAGGTAGAAAGGGTGTGTTCAAAGATGAACTGAACTGTGTCTGTGAAACTAGCCATTATGTGAATTTTGTGGCTGCTGAATGTACAGACTTGGATGTAGGTAACTTTAAAAATGACTTTTTCCTAATACAGATGCTAAAGCGTGTGTGTGTGTAAAAATGGTATTTAGCTAGTACAGATGCTGAATTTATTCCATCCTGTCATGCGTATATTACTGTATGGTTGGGATCTAGGTTCTAAGACAGTAATTCCTAGGCATGCTGATGGAGGAGTAAACCACACTGAACTTTGTGGGACTTACTTCCAAGTAAACATGAATAGAATCAGGCTGCACATTTTTATTTTATCTTACATTCTCTATGGCCAGCATCACGCCCAGCTGCATCCAGAGTTAAATGTCACATTGAATAAATAAGGAGTGTGTGAGAACAAGTTTTCCACCTCTCGGCAAAACTGATCCCTAAACCATCACAGACTTGGTTAGGTATCTAGACAGAAAAGTCAGTGTAGTGTAGGATACCTAGGAAGCCATCATTATAATTTCTTCTGAACGTTCAATTGGTTCTTACAACCTATTTAAATGCACCAAGGCCAATAACTCTGCAAATTGTCATACACAGTGCAACCATAAAGTATTCTTGAATGCCATACATATTTGGTTCTCTCAAGAGCTAGAATCAATGACAATAGATTATCAACAATTCATTTCAAAACTCCCATCAAACCAATAAACAAGACCTTTCTGTAATTGATCCTCAAGTTCTTCTATTCGTTCCTCGTATTCACCCAGTTCTTCTCGATGACGTCGGCTTATTTCTGCTAATTTATGACGGTGTGCATCCTGTAATACTGAAAGCTCGTGTTGATGCTCATCTATTTCTTGACTCAAGTTCTGTTTTAGCTCCTAAAATGTGCATTTTAAAGAAAGTTATATCATCTGTCTAATATATAGGATGCAGATTATGTCTTGTATTTTTAATGTGAGCAATAGTTCATGCAAGACTTCTGAAGACTTGGGGGCATGGTACACATTTTATATCTACGGTATATCTTTATCTATATACACAATATAACAACACAGTTTACTTGTAAGAAACAACACAACATCTTGTTTTAATTCACTCAGATAATTTCTCCAGCACAAACCTATCAGTATTTATAGTCATCCTCACCTTTAATCGTAGTTTGTCCATAGTTAAGGATGTGAATATCTTGTTTTATGTGAATTTTTACAAACTGAAAGAGGATTAACAGAAAATGTAAAGCAAGAGGAGAACTAATTTATTAAAATATAGTCTTACCTTGATAATATTTTGCAGCTTGCCAATTTCATTCTGATCTGTATTATTTGCTCCTTCTGGTTTGGAAAACTAAATAACAAGGAGAAAACTTTTAGTTTTGAAAATGCTGAAAGATGTTCAACTACAATGTATGGGCTCCGCAGCAGATTTTGGGAGAATGTGGGAGGCTGCAGATGGAGAATGGGGACCCACTAAATGTTTGAAATGGGAAATCCCATTTGTGTAAGCCCACCCTGTGGAATGCCCTCAGATGACAGGGAAATAAACAACTACCTCACTTTTTGAAGACATCTGAAGGCAGCCCTGTTTAGGGGAGTTTTTAATGTTTTAATGTCTTATTGTATTTTTACTATTTTGTTGGAAGCCACCCAGAGTGGCTGGACGGGTATAAATATATTATTATTATTATTATTATTATTATTATTATTATTAATCCCACCAGGCACATGGAGGGCTCCATGGAGTAGGAGAGGGAAGGAAAGTGTCATTTGTACAAGAGGGAGTCCATTGTGCAAGAAGAATGTTACCAACGGATACCACCTACTAAATGTTTGGAAAATTTCATGTAGTAGAAGCAACACAGAAATCAGTCATAAGTTTATTAAATTTTATAATTTTAGAATTGTCTTTAAGTTAGCCATCCATTGATTTAAATGGGTCTAATGCTGGATGGCCATCTGTCATGGATGCTTTAGCTGAGATTCCCGCATTGCAAGTGGTTGAACCAGGTGACCTTTGGGGTCCCTTCCAACTCTACCATTCTATGATTCTATGATAATCAGAGTATGACTGAGCTGAATTAAACCCAAGCATAAGATTAAGAAATAGGGTAATTCTATAATTCAATGTAATCCAGTGAACAGAATGCCAAAAGAATCTACATTCAAATCATGCTTAGTCTATTATTTATCAGCTTAAATGTTAACATCTCTCAGCCAATAATATACCACATATTTCTAAGGAAGAGAGAGATTAGGGGAAAAAGCATTAATATTCGAAGGCAATACATACTAAAACAGCATTATACTTTTGAGAAAATATAGATATTCATATTTATATTTCTTTTAAAAAATGTCTCCAATAAATACATATAACTGATCTGCTTTGGATGCCTTTTGTCAAAAGAACAAAGATGCATACGTAGGATTCAAAGTTGAGATACAGTACATCTCTATCCACTTTGACATGTCACAAACATCAAACCACAACACTTGAGAGCTTGAATGAAGCAAGCGTGTGCTTTTCACAGCTTTACAACCCAAGCATTCAAGGCTAAACATAGTTCCACCACAATCTTGCAGAGCTTTGCACTCCATAGTTTGTAAGAGAAAGTTGGAAACTGTCACCACGCTTATGCCATTCATGTAATAATATATATTAATAAGGATTACCCAGTTTTAGAAATAAGGAAGTCAGCAATATCTCATTTAATGGAAAAGCCCAGAATAGTTATCTAATTCCTGACAAATCTTCCACCCCAGTAGAGACTGTAGCATGGGCTTTATTACCAGTTAACTCAAAAAGTGTTATAAATTCAGAACACTTGTAACACAGGAAAGTGATCCACCTGTGCAATCTGTTTCCAATGGTCCACTTCCGATTCAAGCCTAGAAACTTCATTTGATAGTCTGTTTATTTCTTGTTGGGACCAGATTACATCTCCGAAGTCCATGTCATCTCCTTGAAAACCAGAAGAACTATGTCTAACCATAGGGACAAAGGAAGCTGATGGAGTGGTTGATGGAGAGGCAGCAGCTCCTAACTGTGCTGACTGAGCAGCTGACTGCACCTTCCGCAGTTGCTCCTGTAGTGTATTCTGCCTGGCTTTAAGATGGCTGATCTCCACCTAAAAAGACAGGACACAGTTACAAGTAAGATTCAGCACGAAGGAACAAATAATCTCAGAATTTACCTATCACCTGATAAAAGTATTCCCATCTGAGCGGAAGACTTCAGAGATCGTACATGTAATAAAGCAGGAAAGAATTTTCTCATGTAACTCAGTGGTTACAAGTGGTATCAAATTGGTCATCCAAAGTATTTCTTGACCAGCAGCTCTACACTGCGGCTTTCAAGTACAGTCATACCTCGGGTTATGAAAGCTGCGGGTTGCGCGTCTTCAGGCTGTGGACTGCGCCGAAGAAGAATAATAAGAAGAAGAGTTTGGATTTGATATCCCGCCTTTCACTCCCTTTAAGGAGTCTCAAAGCGGCTAACATTCTCCTTTCCCTTCCTCCCCCACAACAAACACTCTGTGAGGTGAGTGAGGCTGAGAGACTTCAAGGAAGTGTGACTGGCCCATGGTCACCCAGCAGCTGCAAGTGGAGGAGCGGAGACGCGAACCCGGTTCCCCAGATTAGCAGACTACCGCTCTTAACCACTACACCACACTGGCACACTGAATTACTTCCGGGTTTTGGCGCTCACACATGCGCAGAAACACAAAATGAAGCACCGAATCGCATCACACACGTGTGCAGACGCAGCGCTGCAGGCTGCGAATGTGCCTCCCGCACGGATCACGTTCACAACCCAAGGTATGACTGTAATTAATTCTGGAATTTTCTACTTGATATACTACGGGTATTGCACAAGCACATTTTTCACACAGATCCTGTTCAGATGCTTATCTGGACGGCAATCTTGTATCTGTGGGGGAGGAACAGAAGGATTCATCCCCATCCATCATGCTCATAACACAATGCATCCATGTGGATGGCTGTAGAATGAAGGGTAATTCTTCTGCCTTAAAAGAGAGAATGGGTGTTTACATATATATCTGCTATCGTGGGAACAGCATTCTTGATTAAGATAGGGGTCTATGCTATGCTACTGTCTCCTGGAAAAGGAAAACCACTCTGGGATTCGGGCAAACGTAAAATGACATTCCTAACGTATTTCTGTGTTTTAGTCCTTCATTGAAATTCCACCAACCACACTGAAACAATTCAAGAAGTATATGAAGAGCTGAATCAACAATTATCCCTATTTATTTAGTGACAAAAATTCGACTGGGTAAGCAAATTGTGGGTAGCCAGTGCAGCTTAACTCAGACAAAAAGCCATTGATATTATATTTCAATAAAAGAAACAGTAGTGCGCACATACACACAAAATCCTTGAATCATCTGTCACCAACCCTTGGGTGAAAACTTATAAATCTAATCAATCAATCAATCAATCAATCAATCAATGTACACACCCTTGTTGAACAACAATTTCTGTGTCACTTTATACCTCTTTCTGCTGTAGCTGATTCCGGTATTCTATGGACTGTTGCTTTATTTGAAGCTCTGCTGCTTCATGCTTTTCTTCCAGATCATTATAAGCCTTCTTCAGCCTCTCATTCTAGAGAAAAACAAGTAAACTGAATCGTCAAAGAAAAGAATGCTAAATCCAATTAAGCCAACATTCTACTGTACTGAAAATATGCCAAGAAGTCCAAGCTTAAGAACAGGTGTTATTTTTTTCAGTGTGCTTTTACAGATTAATTTTTTACCTCTGATCTCAGTGTTCCATGAATATTTTCTACATCCCGCAGACTGGAGCTGGATACAGGAAAGTCTTCTGCAGAACCTGAAAGGAATGGAGAAGGGAATACAAATGAAATCAATTCTCACAACAGTATATGTATGTGGATAGGTTTAGTGGCAATATATTAAAAAGTGTCAATTGAAGGTAGATTATTTAAAAGGATTTCTTAGACTGAACTACTACTACTTCAGTACTGTATTAGCCCCTGAGAGTCAATTAAAACGAATAACACAACATTTTAGAATTCATGTGTGTTGGATTTAAAATGGAAACAAACATATAATGGACCGACCATATTTGGATATTTAACCACTTTTTTTAAAAAAACAACAACAACACAGGAAGGTTGACGCCACTATAATTGTTTCTTACCTACATAAATCTCAGAGATTATGTGTAAACCATATTCTCTTCAGAATATTAAATTCTGATCCTCAGAAAAGATTTTGCTTCCCTTATGATATAGTGACTGTTTGTGTATAATCAAACATAATGCAAGTAGGGATAGTGCTGGAATATTTTATTGGTGCATTTAGTAAATACGTTCTCAACCTTTAAACTTCTATGTGACTGGCAGGTAAAAAGATGCTTGAAAACTTACTTAAAAACTTGATATTCAATAAAGTCACTACATGTTTTAAATTCAAATGTATCTTCCAGAAACTGCCTACAAATATTATGTTCTAAAAATTCTAGGCAACTGAAATACTTTGTTTTTTTCACAACACACCCTGTTGGAATAATGGATAATCTCCAGAATCCCACTATTATAGACCTTTAACACAACGGCTGAACTTTGCCTTCTGAGTGTACACAGTGAAAAATGTCTTATGTGACATCACCTTTCTTTTGCAATTGAGTGTATATGCATTTCTAACAACAGAAAAATAGACATAAACATAACGATGTGCAATAGTTATTAGACCAAAATTATTTTTGCTGTCCTCCTTTCTCATATGCCACCTGTTCTCCAAAGCTCTTGACAATTTAAATTGCTTAGTTGTGGAATGAAAAAAGTTGCTAAAATTTTCTAAAACACACTATTCTAATGAAACAAAGCCAACTGGAGATTAAATCAACCAACAAAGAAAACTACACTCAAGTTGCATGTTACTAACCATCACAATATTAAAAATTGATACAAACCTTTTATGGAAAGCATGTTTGTATTACATGTTTGTAATTCATAATATACCTTCCTACGAAGTTTATATTAGTGGTGTGCTTTCTAAGATTGCCCAGGTATAGCAATATATAAAGAACGAACAATTGAAAACCATATGCTAAAAGGGACAAAGCTCTGCCAGAAATACAGATTTTTTTTGCCAGTGACATATACATTATCCGCACTTGATCCACAAATTCCACCTGTCATTAAAAATGTAATTTGCCTTAGGCAGTTGTCAAGTGTGAACTCAAAACAATGGTAAAACTTAATCGTGGTTTAGGACAGAAAGCCTTCCAGATGATCCACTGTTTCCCCACTACTCCCACAACCCATGCTGGCTGGGATGATGGCAGCTGGAGACCAGAAGTGCCTGGAAGGTTACAGATTCCCCATCCCTGATCTACAGGTAGCCCATTTTACACTTGATGTTTTTAGAAAAGAAACTACTGCAATTTAGATCTTTAAAGCCCATTACACCAGCAAACAGCACAATATCCAAGGCATTTCTTATTGTTTTCTGCCAGGTGTCCCACACTGTTCCTTCCTTTATGATCTCCATGGTTGACTGCTGTTTTGTGATGTTCTTCATGAACAGTCCCAGTTTTAAGAGTTTTCTGAAATATCCTCATTGTATTTTTGACCAATACTGTCCTCCCCTATCACAATAATGCCATTTCTCCCAACCCCCAATATCTAACCTGTTGGGTGCAAGTTCGTGTTTCTGTGGAGGTGCCAAAACAGTGCAACATCATACCAAAAGAACTTCACCAGCTCCCATTCCTGTGTGCTTTCTGGTGAGCAGTCAAGACGTTTCCTTTCAATATACTGTTTTATGAAAATTGATTTTTCTGCTACTTTTTGTCCAAAGTATGCTTTTTTTAAAAAAAGAAAAGGCACTTTTAACAGTTTGCTTGTTTTGTATTTGTTTTTGTTTCAATTGTTTGTGGCCTTGTGTATTTTTGGATGGGATGGGCAAGATACTTTATTTCAACATTTGTAGCTCCAACTCAAAACAATCCTCCCTGCCCTTTCATAAGCTCTCGATCTGACTCTGCTACCTTGCTTCCACATGAGAAAAGCCCTGATGAATCAGTCCAAAGGCCCATCTAGTCTAGCATCCTGTTCTCACACAGGCCAACCAGATACCCGTGGGAAACCCGAAAGTGGGAACTCAGCATGGCAGCACTCTTCCCCAAATGTGAATCGCAGGAACTGTCATCTAACCTTAACTGTCATTTTTTTAAAAAAAAAATTATTTGATAAAGTAATGCTAATAAATAAAATAAAAATAAAGATGTGCACTCCACCCCCGAGACCATTCCACTGTAACTACCCAACCTCCCAAAATTTCAACACCACTTGCAATGGTCTGACCCCTTTCCGTTTTAACAGTACAAAACCTACAAACACCTTGCACATCTCCTCGAAATCATTTCTCCTGCACATTCCCCATCTTACCTTAATAAAGGTAAAGGGACCCCTGACCATTAGGTCCAGTTGTGGACGACTCTGGGGTTGCGGCGCTCATCTCACTTTATTGGCCGAGGGAGCCAGCGTACAGCTTCTGGGTCATGTGGCCAGCATGACTAAGCCACTTCTGGCGAACCAGAGCAGCGCACGGAAACACCGTTTACCTTCCCGCCAGAGCGGTACCTATTTATCTACTTGCACTTTGAAGTGCTTTCGAACTGCTAGGCTGGCAGTAATAGCACATGTCAATTTACCATTAATAGCTATATCCTACACCTCTTTATACCATTCTTCCATTTTACACTCACCTTGCCCCTTCCTATTGACAATAACTCGGGCAGCTGTCAACAAATTCGTGAGCAAGTCCTTCCTGGCCTGTGAACCTTCCACCACATGGTAAATCAATTGACAATACTACTTCTGGACTTTCGGTCAGATTTAACCCAGTGATTTCTCCTTAAACACCCTTTACCAAAAGATAAATAAAAATAAAGTACATATTGATACCCTTAACTCTGTCATTCTGCCGTGGATGCTTTAACTGAGAATCCTGCATTGCAGTAGGTCGTACCAGATGACTTTTGGGGGGCCCTTTCCAACTCTACCATTCTAGGATTTTAACTCCACCCTTCCCCATCCCAAGAACACATTTGGAATTTATAGACAACTCCCAGCATCAGAGCTACTCCCCTCCGGTATTCAGGACACTTTTGATTCCCCCCGCTCCGTGTTTTTCCTTTGTCTTCTCTATGCTGAGGACCCCTGAGTGCTGCCACCTTCCTCTCCCTCCCACCCACCCACTTTCCTTACCTCCCATCTCCTCCGCGCCGCCTTCCAGCAGCATATCCTTGGTGAAGCTGGAGATCTGACCGGTCAGGGTGGACAGGCTGCCTCCCACCTGGCCCACCAGGGACTGCCCCAGTCCCGCTCCCAGGCCGCCCAGCCACGACGCCATCACCGCTGCCGCTCAGCTGTCGATGGGGGAAAACAAGGCGCCGCCGCCAAGAGCAGCTGCCGCCGCCGGTTCCCCTCAGCGCCGGTTCCCCACGCCCGCCTGCCTCGGGGAGCAACCCAGAGAAGGGAAGCCAGCTGCTGGGCCTCCCTCAGAGCTCCGGGGCCGCCATGAAGCACCTCGCGCTTCCCCTCCAGCCCGGGCTCCTTTCTTCAGTCAGCCGTGGGGCCTCCAGGTTGGGCTGCCACCTCGACGGCCGCCATGACACCTCCCAGCTGCACCATAGAGCGGCAGCCGCTAGCGCGCCCCTCCGGACGCCCAGGGACGTGGCCCGGAGAGCAAGGCCAGTCGGGATACGGGAGGATAAAGCGGCAGCGCCCTCAAGCCGCGAGTGGGAGAAGCGCAGGCAGCCCGGATTTCGACGAGCTCCAGTCGGTTCGGAGGGTGGCAAGGCAAGGGCGGGAGGCGGGGTAACCGATCCGGGGCACGTTTACTCCGAAAGGTGTGCTGATTCAGTTAAATGAAGTTTATTTCACTCCAACATTCTGTGCCTTAATCTTATTCAGACAATGTTAATGCAAGATTTCTTTCCCAGTCGTGGGCTCAGCATCCAATATTTAGTATTTTTCGAAACAGGGCCATCAGCTGTGTCATCTCAAAGGAGATAAAGGGAAAGGAATCCTGGATGGGTAAGTCCAGTGAAAGGAGACTTTGGTGTGTGGCGCTCATCTTGCTTCAGGCCAAGGGAGCCGGCGTTTGTCCACAGACAGCTTTCCGGGTCAGGTAGCCAGCATGACTAAACCACTTCTGGCGCAACAGAACACCGTGACGGAAGTCATAGCGCACAGAAACGCTGTTTACCTTCCCACCGCAGCGGTACCTATTTATCTGCTTGCACTGGTGTGCTTTCAAACTATAGTGGTACCTCGGGTTGCAGACGCTTCAGGTTACAGACTCTGGTAACCCGGAAATAGTATCTTGGCTTAAGAAATTTGCTTCAGGATGGGATCAGAAATCGTGCAGCGGGAGTTTCAGGTTAAGAACAGACCTCCAGAATGAATTAAGTTCTTAACCCGAGGTACCACTGTACTAGGTTGGCAGAAGCTGAGACAGAGCAACAGCAGCTCACCACTGTCGCGAGGATTCAAACTGTGGACCTTCTGATCTGATCGCCAAGCCCAAGAGGCTCTGTGCTTTAGAGACCACAGCGCCACCTGCTCCCTCTCTCAAAATAGCACTGTCTTCAACAGGATTGTTGAGGAGCGCTGCACACATTATCAACTTATTTAGTTACAGAAGTTTGAACACAATGGTGGGAATGTGCTGGTGGTGCTCAGCAGGATTAAGAGAAAAGATGGCTGAATCAAAAAGCCTAGTAAAGTTAACGCAGAACCTGGCTAGAATGTGAAGACAAGTATCCAATATATATCAGCTTAACATTAGAAGCTTTGAAAGAAATCCGTTTACCTTCCTGCCAGAACTGGATTCTACATTCCCCTAATATGGAAATTAGGCTATGAAATGAACAGAAGATACATTCAATGTTTTCCAAGCTTTGGGTAGTTCTGACACTGACATTACTGGACAACAGGTTTTGTTCATAAACTGCAGTCCAAACTCATGAAGAAAGTTCATGTAAGATTTTTAAACTAAAGATGAACAAGGCTGAAGGCTTTCCATTAACTTAACCCTTAGGAGCAGCATATCAAGGTCAGGGGCTGCTACCATGCCTTTCAAAAGCATTTTAAAGCTAGTCTTTGGAAGTCTTGTTTCCATATAAAGAAGTCTTGTGTTTCAAAATAGCTAAAGGCTACACAAATACATGTACAGCATCCATTTTGTAAGGTGTGTGTAAGTTTGAACCACAGCTGTACTCTATAAATTATGCAACAACAGACCTCCATCTTTGGTGTATTCTAAATGGAAAGGTAGATTTAGAAACCTCTGCCCGCCTTCCATAGTTGATGCGGTCCATGTATATTTTGTTCTCGGGATATATGCACTCAAGTAAAAGTATCTTGAAAAAAAGTGGCCTTAAATTCCACCAGATTCAACTTGTTCAAAAGAACACGATTTATTGGAAAAGTACAAAGGAAAAAAATCATCATTTTTACAGACTGGTATGATTTCATGTTTTATATGAATCCATTCGCATATTTGTTTTCAAGTAATACCTTAAAAGCAAAAACAAAAAATCAACGCAGACAGCTTTATGTAACTAATGGTGCAGAAGTTTTAAAAACAATGATGGTGCATTAAGTTTGGCAAGCTAATTTCCTCCTGTTAATAAATCAAGTAAATTGTGTAGCACAAAACAGTGTTGCCTTAATTTTATGGAAATGGTAAAGCTAGATGCATTCTTAAAAGCAATGCTTACCCTCAGGGCCAAATCCCATTACCCATACTTATGCAATGGTTTTTAGAGAGATCAACAAAACATGAAGCATGCAAGTAAGATAAATGGGATTCAGCTTCTATAACCAGCCAAGCATCTAAAGCTCAATGTTGTAAACAAACATTATCAAAATCCAAGTGTTCTTCTTTGTAATGTATTCCTTTGTCGTACCATATATTTGCATACAGTTATCTATCATTCAGTAGCTAAGGATGACACTTCAAGATGGTGCAATAATATAATTAATTTTGAAAACATTATCAAAAGAAATTAACAATAGGTTTTGCAATATTTTTCTTGGTATACCTGGCAAATGCCTATGGTTTAAGCAGAGTATACAGTCTGAACACTGTAAACATCCTAAGACCATAGCCATAAGATACATATGTAAACATAATATATGCTTAAAGCACCATTTACAAAATAAAAATGTTAAAACAGTTTTTTTGTAATACAGAATGCCAAATGTGGTCATCCTCCCGTAGTACTCTTGTATACCTCAACTAACAGAATAAAAAAAATAGCTCTAAGTTTGCTCCCCCATTTTCCTCAGTAACAGACACGACGATAGAAAAAAAACTGTAAGGTGCATGAACAAAGGCCATTCATGAAAAGCGGCAAAAATCTTACAGGTAGAGGACATTCATTAACATCTGATAGAACACACACCCACACACATTCATTTATGAATATCCATTCTTGACACATAGGTAACCATGCAGGGTTCATTTCAGAAAGCAGGTGTACAGGTGGCACTGAAGTCATGGCATTAAAATGTTTCCTCATCTTCTTTACTCCTAAAAAAAGAAGCCTGGAATTCTGGGAAGGCCTTAGCTTAGTGGCAGAGTACATGCATTGCATGCAGAAAGTCCCAGGTTTAACCCCAGGTTTCTCCAGTTAAAAGAAACTCAGGAAGCAGGGATGGAAAAGACCTCTGCTTGAGACCTTGAAGAACCCACTGCCAGTCAGAGGGGACGGTACTGGACTAAATAGACCAATGGTTTAACTCAATGTAAGGCAGTTTCTTTTGCTTATCCAGTCTAACACTTGTATAGAAACACAGGAACGGGGAGAAAGGATAAACCGAGGGATCAGAAAAGAATTCCCATGCAACAGAATAGGAATTAAAGTAACCGGTTCTGAAATATGCTCCACAACTTGTTACTTCAGCTATTCAACCAAAGTTCAGGGAATCAGAGTGCTAAAACAGTGCATTGAGGGCAGAACTGCCCAAAATTTAGCAGAAAGAGTATAACAAATGAAAACGTTCCCTTTCCTCCTCCAAAAAAAGGGAAAAATATTTACAGTTGCAAAAGATGCTAGATGGGCTTGTTAGTTTGTATCTCTTGCAGTCCTTAAAACAATCAAAATTCAGTTCTGGAACCAGACCCTTTTTTGCATCTTTTCTTATACTGGTAAAATAACTTTATTTAATTTCGTCTATTAAAATAGTTTGCGTAAGAAGGACTGAGAATACAAGCCAACTTTCCTTTTTTAAAAAACTGTGTAACAGAAATATCTTTCAGAAGTGAAAGGCAAATTATATTTATATAGGCGTAAAATATAAAAAATACAGAGGTGCTTGGAATGCCTTAAGGCATGTACGTGAGCCGATGAAGCTGCAGGTGTCACCCAATGCTGGCTAGCATCCCAACAGAAAGGCCTCAGGACTGGACCTCTGTGTAACTGGGTACAGTTGATTTTGCTGTGCAGAAACCCGCATGAATACGCCATCACAACTGAACAGGGCTCCTACCCCATACAACTATTTGAAGGAATCACTAACTTACCCTGAACATCTATGGATCAGGAAGGTGAGTTGAGATTTTAGAACAAACTGATAATCCTTTTGCTCACGTGCAGCAAATCTACAATCTTGATTAGAACTAGTGGCATGGGGAACTAAAACCTTGAGGTGAGAAGACTTTATTTTTATTATATGCAATTGCCTTTTAATTCTGATCCTCAGCCCCATAGGTTTTAGGGCTATATCCTGCTTTGGTACATCAGTGAAATGAACCCTACCTTTATACCACCCGCATAGGATTAATACAGGACTTAGTGTTTCGATAAAATAAAACTAGGAATTTTTGTCATTTCTTTTCTTCTGCATTCAAGCTGTTTCTAACAGTTTCCAAGGACATATTCATAGCTGCCTGAAGCATATCCTCTTCACTCATATCACCTCCTGGCAAAATAGAAGATAAAATGCGTTAGGTTCTAAAATACAGTGGTACCTTGGGTTACATACGCTGCAGGTTACAGACTCTGCTAACCCAGAAATAGTACCTCGGGTTAAGAACTTTGCTTCAGGATGAGAACAGAAATCGTGCTCCGGCGGCGCAGCAGCAGCAGTGGGAGGCCCCATTAGCTAAAGTGGTGCTTCAGGTTAAGAACTATTTCAGGTTAAGAACGGACCTCCGGAACGAATTAAGTACTTAACCCAAGGTACCACTGTACAGCTATAAAAAGGGGAAATGTATATGTCATTTCTCTTTTTAGATTTTACTGACTTCATTGTACCTTTTCCCTGATAAAATGCTCAGATCTTAATAGCAGTTGAGGTTTTTTTATTTTTCAGCATGCACCCATCTGCTAGAGGGTGGGGGTGGAAGGGTTATCCTGGTTATTAGAGCATGTAACAAGCAGATCAATAACGACTAGCACTTCTCTTGATCCAACAAATACAATATGGAGAATTCCAAGAAAGGAGCCTTTCAAAATAGTGCTCCATATCAGTTTCTTCCCTGTAATGTGGCATGAAGAAAGAAATCAGACTTGCTTGCTCTGGAGATCAAACAGCATGTATGACTGGGGTACTCTGGGCCCTCACTGGCGATAGTATACTGTAAGCAACCCCATTATGTTTTATGGCTGCAAACCCGCCCCCCCCCCAAAAA